CTCTGAAACCACTGGATGAATTGACATTAAATTTGGACACAATATACCTATCAGGCCAATGAGTGACCATCACTCATAAAAACACAGGAAAACACAGTAGAAGAGACCTAAAAAGCCCCCCAAAATACATTACAATGCATGCGCATAACCACATATATACACATATACACAAATATATACACACACATATACACATATATGCACACAGAAAACACATATACTCAGACTGTGCCACAGCAATGCGTGGCAGGGATGGCTAGTATGATAATATAATAAAACTTTATTTCTAGACCACCCTCTCTCCCCAGAGGGACTCAGGGCAGTTTATACACACAAAAAAGACAAACTTTCAATGCTTCAAATGAATACAAACACATCAAAAATAATGCAGGGCAAAGCACAGTAATAGCAATGAATGTACAATGAAGAATTAAGCAGCAAAATGAAAAATAAAACAAAAACAATCCAATAAGACATAATAAACTAAAACATTAGTAAACATTACAAAATATTCTCTGAAAGCAATTAAGAAACACATTACAAATGCCTAGCTCCGATGTTCATTTGAGATGTATCATAGCAACCATATATAATACAAGTGTGATTAGCCAGCATTCCAATGGATTAAAGTGTCCTAGTCCTTCTCCTCTCCATACACAAAAGTGCATAGGTGCGTTTTCAGAAATCTCTTAAAGGAGAGAAGGGTAGGAGCCATTTTTATTTCTTTAAAGAGGGCAATCCAGAGAATGGGAGTGATCAGAAGGAGGCCCCCTCTTTCGCTAGCACCACCTGGGCTTGTGACAGGGGTGGGACCAAGAGGAGGGCCTCCTCCATTGATTGCAGTGCACGAGGTGACAAATAATTAAAATTTATTACCAGATAATTGATATCATATGACTTCACCTGTTTGCTATGTACTGTGCCTATTTTTCTGTATGTCTTGCTGGTTCATACTGAATGCTTACCTATTACTGTAATTTACCTGCAAATATAATATTATCTAGAGCCCCTGGTGGCACAGTTGATTAAAGCGCTGAACTGCTGAACTTGCTGACCAAAGGTTGTAGGTTTGAATCCAGAGAGTGGCGTGAGCTCCCGCTGTTAGCCCCAACTTCTGCCAACCTAGCAGTTCAAAAACATGCAAATGTGAGTAACAGCGCTTGTTCTGTCGCACGCTGGGCCTGTGCATAAGACTGTAGACAGGACATAAATTCTGTGTGCCCAATGGGACGCCGGGGCTGCCTCAGATTAAAGGCCCTTGGATTTCCTTAAAACAGAGTCTTTAGAATGCTTAAAGGTTCAACAAAGTTCTTTATTAATGAAAACAAACAAGTACTTTAAGGCTTTCTTAACAGTCTATTAGCTCTCTCTCAATCTTGTCCACAGGGAACAGGCACTATCTTCATAACTGTAACTAATGAGGAAACCCTTAACTTCTAATCTGGGCAGTCTATCTTTGTCTCTGATGGCGTGGAGCCCCTACACCCGGTACCAACTGCTTCTGGCTTCCGCGAGTGACCCTTACCAAGTAGAGCTTTGTAGACCTCCAGGGGAAAAGGAGTTCAGGTTTCAGTGATGGTTGACTGAAGTCCCTCCGCAAAGGAGCTGTAAGGCTGTATGATCCTCGGCCAAGCTGTGGGCTGTATAACCCCGACCAAACCCTTTTACACTGCCACATAAAATCCAGATTATCTGCTTTGAGCTGGACTATATGACAGTGTAGACTTATATAGGCCGAGCTTTAGCACAGTGGGTTAAATCGTCAGCTGCATAAAATCTTGCCAATTGAAAGGTTGACAGTTCAAAACCAGGTTGCAGAAGCCAAGACAGAAACAAATGGTAATGAATATGAACTCTTTATTCATATGGGAGAGACAGCGTTAACAAATGTAATGCTTATTTCTCTTCAGTTGTGTAGAATGCTTTCCAGACCTTGTTGAGAAGCAAGACTCAAGTTAAGCCTACAAAAATTGTAATCTCTTTTCTTTACTACATCTTCCAGCTAAGGGCCATTGCTGTTGAAAGAAATGCTGAAAAGATTGTGGAAAATCTACTTTGGAAAGTGAACCCATTCCTTATTTAATGTGTCTTTTAAAGCAGGCTAGTCCTCTTCCACCCCATTCAGGTGAAAAAGCCAAATTGCAGGATGGAGAAAAATCACTGTAAGCACAATATTACAACAATGCATCTCTACAGGCAGAGTTGTTGCCAGCACAGTTTGGTGCTATCTCTCATTTCACTCAAAATTACTGTGAGTGTCAATATAATCTACCACAGTTACTACACTGGCAATTTCCATGGTTGCTGAAATGTTACTGTCGTTCACATCTGACATATCTTTCATCTACTATATCAGGAGCTAATAGGGGAGTATTTGAACAAGTTACCTGTTTTTTCTATCTCATGTGTTCCCAGGACATTCACACAGTTTAGATCATCAGTGGAAAACATTATCATCAGATAGATTTTGTGCCTTAGAACTTGTCTTCCATGTTTGCGGATCCCTGTAACAAACAGGGACATGAATGATATAATGCAAACTATTGATGAGAAGAGAATTTGTATTCGAATGAATTCAGCCGCAGTAGCACAGCAGGTTAAACTGCTAGCTGCAAGAAAGCTGCTCACTGGAAGCTTGGGAGTTTAAAGCCGCAAGTTCGGGTGAGCTCTTGATTGTTAGCCCTAGCTCCTGCCAACCTAGCAGTTTGAAAGCATGCAATGCAAGTAGATCAATAGGTACTGCCTCTGCGGGAAGGTAAAAGGGCACCCCATGCAGATATGCAGACATACTGGCAACATAATCAGAGATGTCCACGGACAACAGGCTCCTCAGCATGGAAAAATGGAACAACAGCAGCTCCCCATGGTCAAATTTGAGTATAGCCTCTAGACACCAGAGATGGAAAAAGGGGAAGCCCTTTACCTTTGTCTGTGTTGTATGCCATTGTTCACTGTGTGTGTAAAAAGGCATTGAATGTTTGCCTCATATGTGTATTGTAATCTGTTCTGAGTCCCTCTGGGGAGATAAAGCAGAATATAAATAAAGTGTATTGTAACGATTCATACTCTAAAATCATCACATTAAAAAAAAGTCACAATTTTTGGAATATTTTCTTCCTGATACATCAAGTTTCAGTACATTTAACTGGTCAAATATAAACCATTAGTTGGACTGAAATCAATGAAACCTAAGCCATTAGTTTTTCACTGGGGTTTTAACTATACTGCTGCTAACTCAATTCCAAGCCACTGTGTACAAATTTTGTACAATTATCCTAAATGAAAAGCCAGAAAAGAATCAATGATCCAATTATGTTTAGACATTTGGATTTTACAAGATCTTTTTCTTGCTGGTTCTTTCTTTGGTTTTATCATAAACTGCTAATTGTTTGATCTTCCTTTCCTATGTTTTGCTTTATTCATGTCACATTACTATTTTGTGAAATGAGGAATTTATTTAGTATACCACCCAATTACATATATTATTTTTAATGAATAAAAATAATGAACCAGTCAATGAATGGCTTCATAATTAATTCTATTTGTGTAACTATTTTTCACAAAATACAGCACTGTAACATTATATTTACTCCTTTAGATCAAATCCCACATGGCCATCCCTCTGAAAATCTCTATAGTAGTGAGAATTATTTCTAGACCATTAAGAATATGACCAGACTATAAGTTTACGTCAGTTATCACTTCCAGTACTTCCCTGTGGTGTTTGAAGAATGCAGGGATTTTAAAATATTCCCTGACAATATTACTCCCTTGGGATAAAACACTTGCTGAATTCATCAGTCGGCATTTGACAGTATAAAGGACCCTATATCTTGCATTGTTTGTCCTAAGATTGGAAACAGTTGGACTCATGTCTGCACTAGCCTTGGTTGTGAGTGGACCTACACATTGTGAGTTGGCTTTATTCCTGAATGTCTAGCATTTCTGAAATTCGCTGAGGGCGACCCCTCCCTCCTCCCATTACTTTCCTATTTTTAAAGATCTCTGTGGGGATAACACACAGTGTGGGACTCCTGGCTTTCGCATGCTATTAAGTTATTGCCACCCCCAAGGACAACCCCGCCAGGAGGATGAGGACTCACATAACTCTGAATCAATAAAGGAAGCAGCTCAATTAGCATTTCACATGCTTTTCTTCCCTCTCTTCTTACCTTCCCTGCAGTGGGCATGCTTTCCCCTTAAAGGATTGTCCTGTTTCTGCTCCTTGCCAGCGTTGGCAGGGTGACAGTAGTCGAGTGTGCAAACTTGTGCTATTGTCCTGGGGCCAAGGGGAGTCATGGAGACCCACTAATATGACACAGGAAAATGTTTGCTGATGGCAATTCTATGGGCTTTGTCTAACTCTTTCTCCATCATGACGACTCGATTTAAGTCTCTAACTGTTTGACTACAGATGCAAGAGTACTATCCAACTCCATCCTTTTGTCCAAGTGGTTTGAATGGGTAATTCAGCTTTTGTGTGGCTCAATTGAGGGGGCAAACATAAAGACAAGATTCTTGAGCGCTCAAGCTCCTTTTCCATGGATATCTGCACATCTCTTTAGAGATTTGTTCCTTTCCTACCTTTTTCTGACATCACCCTCCCTTTAAAGAGGGGGGAAAGCCCCGATCAAGAACAGTTTAAAAAGTAGGCTAGCCAGGTTTTCCAAACTAGCATTGTCCAATGTTACTCAAGCATGCTTACTGCCAGCCTTCAGACAGCTTTGGAGTACTTTAGAGGGGAAAGGGCCTCTGCAAACTTTCTTTACTCATCCTCAGCATATCATGTTTGATTGTGTTTAGGGAAAAAATGGGGAGGGGAGGGGGGTCTGGAAACAGGGAGAATGGTAGGAATCACAGGGAAATGATCGTATTTATTAGCTGTCTTTCTGTGGCTGTCCCCATGGTGACAATTTGTGATGGCAAAGAATGTGAGAACGGGGAGCCTAATGCCTGATTGGGATGCTTTGTATTTGGCAAAGTGGCTTCTGATTGGCCTGAGAAAGCCTCCTAACTAGAAGGACTTGATATTCATTCAGCTTACTCAAGTGCTGCAAAACACTCACAGGGTCCGGCTGCTTCTCTAAAGGTTGGTAGTGTCTAACCTATGTAACAAGATTAGCTGGTGAGCGTCTTCTCCTCTACCAAGGAATTACAGTAACACTCGATATTTAAGAGACAATCTCGTTGGGAGGGGTGTATGTGTTTAACTTGGGGCTGCCATGAAAGTGATGCATAGTTTTTGACTCAAAGGTTAAATGCTACCTGTCTAACAAGATTAACTAGTGGGGGTCATAACTAGTAAATGATGTTTGTTAGAGAAGGGGCAGCAATATATTGAAAGGTGGATCAGGTTATGAATGTATGTATGGTGTGATGCACAATCACATTGCCTATCAGTTTGCTGAATAGCTTAAGAGTGTGCATTGTACAGCAGAATCGTCGCAGTGGTCCTGAACTCCACGGGAAAGAAACAAGAGCACGAAAAACAAATCCTATATTAGGACCATGCTTTTTTGTCTAAAGTTACTGTCATACTTATGCTAGCTTTCTTTTGTGCAGAGTATAGTATGTGTTAGTGTATGTGTGTGTATGAGAGAGAGAATGATGCAATTATGAGATAAGTATTCAGGTGTTTAAAATCACAATATGATTTACTGGATTCAATGTATAGAATTAACATCGAAATTGCATCGTGGGTCTTACTTTTAAGTAGATATGTAGAAGATTATTCTGTAAAAAAAGAGCATCAGGAACTTAGTGGGAACTGCATGAAACATACCCTATCAGTGGTCTTAAGGACCTGTGTACATACAAATATGCACACAGAGAGTAACACATCATATGAACAAAACAGATTTGTTCATATGATGTGTAACTCTATATCTGTATGTCATGTTTTTGGATAACTGCTCCTTTAACATGTTTTGTCCAATTTGCGTGCACATGTGATAGTAATATCAGGCTAAATTAGTTTTTGTACACTGAATGTACAGTCTTGGTATAGAATTCTGTGGGAAACAAAGACATATGCCATTTTAAAGTGCTGTTTCATTCAGTGTTATTAACAGGTTCATACCTTCAGCATACACCCAAGATGCTAAACTAATTCTCAAAATGGCTAGACGCAGCCCCACATTGTGTACAGTTAATAAATAAATAAATACCACATGGCCCCACACATTACACATTAAAGTGGATAAATGCATATATTCAAACACATACATATACCTATATTTATATCCCTCACAGCAGGTGCTTCCACAATGTGCAATTGCCCTACATCAAATCAAAACTTTTATGGGGATTTCAGATGTTACCTTTATTTATTTGTAGATCACTTCCACATTTTCCTACTTCTGACTTTTTTGTATCACTACGGTCATGTGGATGATTATTGCACATTAGACTACAAAATCCAAACCACCACTAAAATATTTTTGCTGCTACAGTTTGAGTATCCCTTAGCCAAAAAGCTTGGGACCAGAAGTGTTTTGGATTCTTCAAATTTTGGAATACCTATATTTCATATGAGTTCATCATGAGATATCTTGGAGTTGGGACCCTAAGCATAAACTTGAAATTCATTTATGTTTCATATATAGTTTATACACATAGCCTGAAGGTAATTTAATACAATCTTTTAAAATAATTTTGTGCAGAGAACAAAGATTTTGTACACGGAACCACCAGAAAGCAAAGGTGTCACTACCTCAGCCACACTTGTGGACAATTTTGGATTTTTGAGTATTTTGAATTTCTGTAAAAGGGGTGCTCAATGTGTATTGCCAAGCAACTTCTCTACAGGTTATAAAGAGCTACAGAGTAAAATGAAATCAAAATAATTCCATCGCATCCTGCATCTAAGACAGAATTGTAGTAGTTTGACATCAAGTTTACTGCCATGCATTTCTAGAATTTGTAGTTCTGTGAAATATTTGCTACTACCACCAAGATCTTCCTGTCTGCCAGGAAGCTCAGGTGTCACAATAAACTACAAATTCCAGGATTCCATAGGACGAAGCCATGGCAGTGCTGTAACAGCCCAATAAAACAAGTTCTTGGTGTCTTGGTTTTTAGGTCTGTTCCTGGGTTTATTTGGGGGTCTGATTCAGAAAATTGCATTGGATAGACTGCATCATCTCTAGTTTCATAGATATGGTTATCATGATTTTCTATGGGTGAGCAAATAAAGGCTGACATGTGGCATGTTATGTTATCTCAAAAACTAGAGATGATAAAGGGAAACTAGTGGCATTTTTGGAATCCACAGGTCAAACATACCCAGAAATAGAGATAATATTTCAGGCAGCAAAATTATAATTTTTCAGTGTGGATGGTCTCGAAGCTCTATTTGACTGAAACAAATGTGCCTCAGTTTAAGAAAACATTATCTGCCATTGATTTTGCATCAAGGAGGAAAGAACCTGGGATTTATGTCAAGGTTCACAATTCACCATGGTCCTGATTTAGCCTGCTTTAAACCTCATCCACTGTTATTTGTCTGTGTTTGTGTCTCCAGGACAGAAAAAGGGAAAGAGACCTTCATGGATGAGCCCTTCTTCTTCCTCCTTCTTCTCTGAGCTATGAGAAATGGCCTCCTCCTCAGCCGACAGTGAGGTGAAGACCCTCCTCAACTTTGTCAACTTGGCCTCCAGTGACATCAAAGCTGCCTTGGACAAGTCGGCTCCTTGCCGCCGCTCCGTCGACCACAGGAAATACTTGCAGAAGCAGCTCAAACGCTTCTCCCAGAAATATGCCCGCTTGCCTCGGTGTCACCATCACCATCATCCCCACCATATGCAGCAGCCATCATCTCTGAGGGAACGAAAGGCAGTACCTGAGGGGAAAGGCCGAGGCCTCAACATCTCTGAGTCACCTGAGACCTCCAAGGGGTGGGTTGCTGTAGTTGCCACCGCCTCGACCTCCATCTTGGCCCAAAGCGACAAAGCTTGCAAGGCTGACAATGAGCGACAGCAACAACAGGCCACCTCGGATGCGCTTGCTAGACCTGACCAAGTGCCCATGAGGAAAAGACAGTTACCCGCTTCTTTTTGGGAAGAGCCCAGGCCTACTCAGGGTCCACTTAGCCTCTTCTCTTCATCACCATTATCTTCCTCAAAGGACTTGTTGCCTCATTATGAAGGAAAGAAAAGCCACAAAGGCACTGATGGATTTGCTTCCTTGAAGGACTTGGTGCCTCTTTATGAGGGAAAGAAAAGCCACAAAGGCCCCGACAGGTTCACTTCGTTGAAAGACTTGCCACCTCTTTACGGGGGAAAGAAACGCCACAAAGGCCCTGACGGAGGGACCTCCGAGAGGCCAGACGCAGAGACCCTTCAGGTGCTGAGCACCTGGGGTTGCTGGCCATTTCAGTGCCATGAACCACAAGCCTCCCCAAGCCTCTACCCACCACCGCTGCCTCTAACTGCTGCTTTTCCTTCCTCAGCAGCCCCTTTCCCAGCCTTGGGTTTGTGGAGGAAAAATGGGGCTTCCTCAATGGAAGGAGAAGCCTTCAGCAAACTGGGAGGAATGGGGCAGAAAATGTACCACCAGCCGGTAGTGTGGAAGCCCATCCCCACCAAACCTGCAGCACCCCCAGCCACCCTCTTCAGTGTCTTCGGATATATTTAGAGCAAGGCTGGTTTCCCACCATTTTCCAGAGCTTCACCTCATTTCGGGAAGGAGAGAGCCAAACAAAGGCAGCGACTCTCTCTAGCTTGGGGGCTTGACCCGTTTGTTGTTGAGAGGTACAGATACTATGGAATTAATGCAGTTTTTTACCAGGCTCAATATGTCTGGAGAAGGACAACCAAAATGGTCTAAGTTACCCCAATCTAGATTGAGGGAAGTCATATACCCACTCTATTCTGCTTTGGTCAGATCTCACCTGGAATAATACTGTCTTTAGTTCTGGACACCACAAATCAAGAAGGATATTGACAAGCTGGAAGGTGTCCAGAGAAGGGTGAACAAAATGATCAAAGATTTGGGAGCAAAACTCTAAAAGGAACAGCTGAGGAAGCTGGGTATGTTTAGCTTGGGGAAAAAAGGTAGAGAGGCGATATGATAACTATGTGTAAATGTTTGAAAGGATGTCACCTTGAGGAGAGAGCAAGCTTGTTTTCTACTGCTTTGGAAGCTAGGACACAGAACAATGGATTCAAATTGCAGGAAAGGTTAATCTACCTAAATATTAGGAAGAACTTCCTGGTGATTAGAGCTATTAGGCAGTATAACATGCTGCTTCAAAGTGTGGTCAAGTCCCCTTCTTTTGAGATTTTTAAGCAGTTTGGATTGCCATCTGTCAAGGAGACTTTGATTGTGTGTTCCTGTATGGCAGAGAGTGGGAATGGATGGCCCTTGGGATCCCTTCCAGCTCTATGGTTCTATGATTCAATGCTATGGGTAATGTTAGTTGTAATTTGAGGGGCACCAGAGAAGAGGTTAAAGACCTTGTAAAACTACAACACCCATGATTTCATACTATTGAGCCCCGGCAGTTAAAGTGATATAACACTGCATTCATTCTACAGTGTAAATGCCCCCTTGAGGGTTTGGTTTTTTTCCCCTCCCTGGGGTGAGTTCAGGAAAAAAAGAGGGAAGACACATTCTTGGGAAGATCTTCAATTTCAACTAAGAAGCAGCCACAAAGCTCAATTTGGGTCAGTCATCTTCCTCTGGGGTGCATCATAACTGTGGAATGAATACAGTTTGACTCCACTTTAATTGCAATGGTTCAATCCTTGGTATTAATGTGGTTTGTAGTTTGGTGAGGCAGAGAAAGCCAAAGACCTGACAAAACTACACCTCCCAGGATTACATAGTATTGAGCCATGGTAGGGTCAGGCTGCTTTCATTCTACAGTAGATGCAACTCACCAATTTCACATTGCTGTTGTGATGGGAAATGAGTGGAGAATTGTAATTTGAAGCAATGTCTATATTTCCATGTGCAGTTAGTCCTGCACATTCACTGGAGTTAGGGCAAAGGATGCTTATGAAAGTGAAAAAACAAAAAACAATGGGTTGCTGTGGTGAATTACTTAGATAGTGGATTTATTCCACGTCTTTTTAAAAGGTGCGGGATGAACCCACTACTTCTGGTGTCTGGACACCATTCCCACAGTTTACCGGCTAAATAAGCTTGGTAAACTGTGGGCCCACTTCCCTCCCCCCAAGCCCCCAGACCCCTTTGAAAAATTAATGAAAACTTACCTAGCCTCCATTATAGGCTTCAAGAAGCTCTCCTGCCACGTAGAAATGACGTGCCAGGAGAGGGGGGGGGAAGGTGGAGGGAGGAAAATCGCTCCCCCCCCCCCGCTCTCCTCGCACATCATGTCTACAAGCTGGGAGAGCTGCTCAAAGCCTGTAATGGAGGACAGGTAAGTTTTCATTACTTTTCAAAGGGATCTGCAGAATTTGGGGGAGGGGGTAGGGTCTCCAGATGTTCTCCCAGACTAGACCTGGGAGAATGTCTGGACACCCACCCCCAAAAGTGTGCATTTTATGGGGGGGGGGTGTATGAACAGGCCCCCAGGAAAATCCGCGTTTTTTAAAATGCGGATTCTCCTGGGATAATGCCCTGTGTGGAACCGCCCTGAGTTTTCCAGGTTGTATGGTAATGTTTCAGAAGCATTCTCTCCTGATGTTTCGCCCACATCTATGGCAGGCACCTGAATTTTGGAATTCTGAATAAGGGATGCTCAGCCTGTAATAAAAATAATCAGTCTGCACTGAGAGTAGAACGTGTCTGCCTGTGTTGGCAAAGGATTCATTCATAACAAATCATGATGATCATGAAGTTCTGCCATAAGAAGTTTTTCTTTGCTTGCACAATTGGTGAAAGACTGCAAGACTTACTTCTGTAAACAAGAACTTGGTTCTTTCTGGCATGTAAATAATGTTGAAACAAACAAACAAAAATAAAGTTGTTTTCTTTGAGTCTCCGTTCCATGAATGCTTTCAAGTGGAAAAGTACATTCTTGTCATCAAAGGAAGAGATAAGAAGAGTTTGACTACATCTATTTAAGTAGAGTAATTGTTCTTCAATCTCTGAGTAGGTTGCCCTATCTCTATGAGTGCTATAACAAGATTTTATTTGGTAATTTATATTTTGTGAATTAGTTGTCATTTTGAAGCAAAATATGAAATTTAATGCAGTGCTACTCAGAGAGATGGTTAGTCACTGGAGCTGTATTCATCAATGAAACACTGGATGCAAGGGGGAAAGGGTTTCTTGTTGTCGCCAGGCACAAATACGGATCAGAACGGCACTCATTGGAAGAAAATCATTGTCAGTCGCTCATATCAGAGATCCTGAGAAGCACTAAAAATGAATAAGGAGGTCATTATAGTAACACAAAACATAACTACATTTATTTACTATATTTGGTGTTTCAAAACGATGGACCCAAATTCAGTATATTTCTAGAAAGGAGTCCCCAGTGGCTGAGCTGCTGGACTTGCTGACTAAAAGGTCTGTGGTTCAAATCTGGGGAGTGGGGTGAGCTCCCACTGTTAGCCCTAGCATCTGCCAACCTTGCAGTTCAAAAACATACAAATGTGAGTAGATCAATAGGTGGGAAGGTAACGGTGCTCCATGTAGTCATGCCGTCCTCATGACCTTGGAAGTGTCTACAGACAATGCCAGCTCCTTGGCTTAGAAAAAGAGATGAGCACCACTCCCAAGAGTTAGACACGACTAAACTTAATGTCAAAGGGAAACCTTTACCTTTACCTATATTTCATGATGGCAACATGTTACAGTCACACAAAAAGGTACAAATGAGTTATCAAGTTATCCTGTTTTGCTAAATATTTTTTGTCAGAAACAAATCTAAAAAATAACCTCGCTTTAGGCCTTAGGTTGCAGGGTCCTTTTTAAACTGAGGTTAGGAGCTGTTTGTATGCTGGGTGAAGCCTCTAGTAGTAATCATTTGAAACTCTTATGCCCAACTCTTTCAAGGGATAGGAGTTTTATTCATTGGTGTTTCATGCTTGCAGATATATAGCAATTTCAAATCAGGTCCATCTTTTTGAAGCATCATGTCTATGTGTGGGTGGCAAGCTGAAATACTGCACTCTCTCCTTGGACTAGTATATGTTTTTGGAAATTCATGTTTCTCATTGTGAAAAAAGGCATATATTTTAGATATGTCACAATATGTCATAAATACAGATGACATGTTATATATAATTAAAATGTTTTGATGCCAGTGTGAGAAAGATCCCTGTTTGCTGAGACTACTAGGTGATGCCAAGCAGGGCTGAGAATATTGTCGTTGGGGGTGGGTGTGGGTGGGGTGATCAATAAATCTGCTTTATTAATTATCCTTTGTAAAAACAATGATGTAGCAAGAACAATTTGTGTAATGTTTCACAGATGAAGAAACACATGCTGTTATGAAGTGTTGTATGCAGTAGGTGGGGAGGGCAAGAGTTGGCACTTAATCAAGCAGTGATTCCCAAACTCTAGTCCTCCGGGTGTTTTGGACTTCAACTCTGAGAAGTGTCAGTAATTTTGCCCAATAATCAGGAATTCTAGGAGCTGAAATCCAAAACATCTGGAATACTAGAGTTTAGGAAACTTTGATTTAAGTCAGTGTTTCTCAACCTTTTTAATGCTGTGACCCCGTAATACAGTTTCTCATGTTGTGGTGACCCCTAACCATAACATTATTTTCTTTGCTATTTCATAACTGTAATTTTGCTACTGTTGAGAATTGTAATGTAAATATCTGATATGCAGGATGTATTTCCATTCTCTGAATCAAATTTGACACAGATACCCAATACACTCAAATCTGAATATGGGTGGGGGTGGGAGGGGGTTGATTTTGTCATTTGGGAGTTGTACCGGTTGGGATTTATAGCACACCTACAATCAAAGAGCTTTCTAAGCTCTACCAATGATGGAATTGAACCAAATTTGGCACATAGAACTCCCATGAAGAACAGAAAATACTGGAGGGTTTTCATGGGCATTGACCTTGAGTTTTGGAGTTGTAGTTCACCTACATCCAGAGAGATCTGGACCAAACTTGGCACAAATACTCAATATGTCCAAATGTGAACATTGGTGGAGTTTGGGAAAAATAGACCTTGGCATTTGGGAGTTGTAGTTGCTGGGATTTATAGTTCACCTACAACAAAGAGCATTCTGAACCCTACCAGTGATTGAATTGGGCCAAACTTCTCACATAGAACCCACATGCCTTGAAGGGGCCCACTGGGGCGAGTCTCCTTCCAGCCTCACACACTCTCCCTCACCTGCACATGCACACCTAGAAGGCCTGCTCTCCCCTCCCCACTTGGAGTCTCAGAAACAGCCCTCCCCTTTGCTGAGAGGCTGGTCAATCACCGCAGAGGAGGGCTTTTGATGGGAGGATAAACAGTCTGTTTCAAAAAAGGAAGAGAAGGACAGGCAGATAGAAATTCAGCCTTCTCTGCCAAAGGGGTTCCTAATATTATCAGAAATATATGTTTTCTGAAGGTCTGTGGCAACCCCTCTGAAAGCCTCCCACAACCCACCCAAGGGTCCCGACCCCCAGGTTGAGAAACACTGATTTAAGTTTTAGGTCTCTAAATAATGTAAACATTATTAAAGTATTTATGAAATAAATTAGATATATTTGATAACATTGATATGTTAAATAAGATGAACCCAGATTTTATCAAAAGTAGACTGTCCTGAAAAGATTAAAAAACATGAGACAGATCAAATCATTTAATCATAGAGTTGGAAGACACCACAAGAGCCATCCAGTCCTGTGTACTTTCTAAACTAGGAATATATTTAATTGACGTTTTAAAGGTTGCTGTGGAGCCTCCTTGTTCAGGGGCAGTATGCCATTGAATGTCAGGTGCTGAAGCAAAACAGCCACAGAACTGTTGCCTTCTCGTCTTGTTTGAGGGCTTTCCAGAGACATTTGTTTCCAGAAACACTTGGCTGGTCACTGCGCGAAACAGGATATTGACCAAATAGTCTAATCTAGCTTTTCTTATATTTTCAATGCTGAACAGAGACTAGAAGACTGGTTCTTCAGTTCCATGCAATCTGTATGCTTGTCCACAATGTCCTGCTTTATGCTCAGAGGAAGAATTGTTTAAACCTTCAGACAATGCTGTTGCTGTTGCCCGTTTTTGGTCAAAAATTATTTAGCCGCTTGTGCTCCTTCTATTTTTTATCAATTTTATACTTATTTATGCAAGGCTTTTGAGACAAAATAAAATAAAATATCCATTTTGGGGTTATTTTAAAGTAGAATGAGATAAAGAGAAATGCAATTCTTTCTTCCATGCTTATTATGATTTACAATGGCTTAAATATTTCCAGTCTAAACATATTTGGGTTCCTATTGCAGTAAACATTTAAAAGGCTTATTCTACTTATATTATTACAATATTTCTTTAAAAAATACTCATGTGACAATTTTACTCAAATTTAATGCAAACGATAAAACCTAAAAATATAATATTTTTATCAATATTGCACACACATCCATTCCTGTGATCAAGTACAACTGTTTTAAAAAAGGTGTAACAAAACCAAAGCTTCAAAAGTGCCTCATTACATTAAATGGATTGCACACACACCTTTGAAATTAAAAAATCAACCAAGCAACAGAATGCTAAAATAATATGGACAAAATATCTGATATAGGATAATAAGACATTTTCTATTATCACCCTCTGTTAATCTATGCCCGCACACTGTATACTGGGACTGCTGGACTTGTTATAAAATCCTAACAGTTTCATCTTTCAAATTTACAACCACATTTATACATATGCATTTACTATTTATAAAACAGTTTATACAGATTTGGTATAACTGGTGAAATCATTTTGTAAAAACTCAAGTTTCCTAGAAAATCTCTGGAGCAACAGAAGGCCATATACTCATTACAGTGCTTGTTTTTCCCAGAGCAGACTGCTTTGTGGAGATATGCGTTTTACATATACAGTTTTACATATATAATGCATTGCTCAAGCAGTCTTGCTTTTTCTAATCCAGTAGCCTTTTGCAAAGGAGATCCAAATGATCTATGCATGAAAATATTTCTCTATGTATAATTCAATTACTAGAGCGAAGACATGAGTGAGAGGTAGCATGCGCTATGTGCAAATCCATGTAAACCAACTGTATAAAAAGGATGGCAGTTTCAAGTTAAAGCTCTGTTACCCAGGGAACTTTTCAGTGGACCATTTCTTCTTCTCTTTATGTACATAATCTCTTGAGGGTTGTGTATGTTTTTTTTTTCTGCAGAGAAGATTGATCACCTAACTGAAGTTGGGTTGCTGTGAGTTTTCCAGGCTGTGTGGCCATGTTCCAGAAGCATTCTCTCCTGACATTTCACCCACATATATGGCGTGCACCCTCAGATGTTGTGAGGTCTGTTGGAAACTAGGCAAGTGGAGTTTATGTATCTGTGGAATGTCCAGGGTGGGAGAAAGAACTTTGTCTGCTTGAGGATAGTGTAAATGTTGCAATTGGTTAGCTTGATTATACTTTAATGGCCTTGCAGTTTCAAAGTGTGGTTGGTTGCTTCCTGGGGGAATCCTTTGTTGGGAGGTGTTAGCTGGTCCTGATTGATTCTTGTCTGGAATTCCCCTGCTTTTTGAGTGCTTTTTAAAAAAGGCCATTAAATGCTAATCAAGGTGGCCAATTGCAGCATTCACACATGCCTCAAGCAGACAAGAGTTCTTTTTTCCACTCTGGACATTCCACAGATATATAAACCTCACTTGCCTAGTTTCCAACAGACCTCACAACCTCTGAGGATGCTTGCCATAGATGTGAGTGAAACATCAGGAGAGATTGCTTCTGGAAAATGGCCATACAGCCCGGGAAACTCACAGCAACCCAGTGATTCTGGCCATGAAAGCTTATGACAACTAATTGGAGTTCTTCATAGTTTATGGACATATGAATACTCTGCATGGAAAATGGAAGAAAAGTTACGAATTCCTTTTCCATGCTGCTTTTCCTTTAATATTTTCAAGAATAGAAAGGTAACTTTGTCCCTTAAAAAAATCCTGTTCCTACTTCTATATAATATGAGTCAAGAATAGTATAATTCCATTCACAATCAGAATATTTTCCCTACAAAATAAGTTTAATGTAAACTTGCAACCTTGAAAATATTCTGCAATATTTTCTTTCACTGAACCGCAAAAACTGCTCTGTTACTTATGGTATTATATTCCAGCTCTGCATTGCATAATTTAAAGTTTAGAGACCTTTATCCAAAAGATGCCTTACTATGCGTGCATCTCCATGAGACATTACTGAGATGTATATGAACTTTATTGTTTTGTTTGGTTCTATCTGGGTAGCTGATTTTGGAGTCAGGGTTATTGCTATTGTCACTTTTCTAAAACAAGCAAAACCTTGCCAGCGCTCAATCTACACATGGCAACTTTTATGTACATCAAATATATATTTAGCCAATATCTATTATAATGAGAGTAGGAAAGACATAAAACATCAAATGGAAATGTTCAACATGAACAGAATGTCAAACAATTATAACCACAGACCACACTAAAAAGAAATTTGGCGTCAGTGACTTTGTGTGAGGTCACTATTACATCATTTAAATCATCCCAATGAAATTATGGTTTCATTTTTGAGTAATATTACTACTATTTATCCACTATTTCGCACATATAAATTGTACATTGGTTGATTGAAGGTTATTCTGAGCTCTTATTTAGCCATAATTTCAACTACTTAAAAGGATTTCAAACTCAAAATCAAATTAAGATAAACTACTTGATTAGAAGCTAGACTACCATCTGCTGACAGTTGTGCAAAAGCACACTGCCCAACTTCCAGCAACAGCAGCTCTATAGGTGTTTTGTCAAGTCTTCATGAAGCAATGGAGGACCTGAATTTTTCCTTTCCTCCACTACTGATAGAATAGGATTAAACACCATTGGCTTCAGCAATATCAGGATTTTTTTTTCATGTCTGGAGTGACTTGAGAAACTGCAAGTCGCTTCTGGTGTGAGAGAATTGCCCATCTGCAAGGACATTGCCCACACGTTCTCCCCGGATTCGAACCGCTGACTGATCTTGCCGGCACAAGAGTTTAACCCATTGCACCACTGGGGGCTCCATATCAGGATTGAATGCTGGTGTGCTACAATAAACTAAAACATAATCCTGTATTATTCTTTTGTCTAACTACTACTAGCATAAAACACAAGATTTTCTTTTCTTACTTTTAAAGTGGTCACTAGTGGAATGAAAATCCATGCTAGTGCAGTTGCATTGGATTATATCTTAAACAGTTGTGCAACTGTTTGTGAAACCATTTTCCACAAGTTCTCGGACAATTAAAAAAATGTAATTCATCCTTGTGCTAATCTGAAAATGTGGCCCCTCTAGCTCAATTGACTTTGTGTTAACGTGACAAAATGGGCCAATAATTCTTTACAGCACCCACTTTTAAACATGTGAGTTATGTGGGAACAAGAACAAAAATTGTAAAAGGCCCAGGATGTTGATTACTGAGAATATCAACATCATGAAAAAATTAAGTTAGAAGAAAAAAGTGAAAGAGAAAGAATAGCTAGAAAGTCTTATCACACTAGAAAACTGTGTTAAATTAATCTTCACCCATTCAACTATTGTGGGCTTTATTCTATTTTAGATCTTTGCTTGAGACCAAGATGATTTTAGATATGCAACCATTCATAAAATATACTTCTCATCTTTGTAAGTAATTCTGCTTACCTCACGTGGCAGCCAGTCATGCAGACCAACATAATGTGTGAACTGTCAGACTGCAAACAGAACCTACAGCCAATCTTGTTAATGCTGGAAGTGGAGAGCATGAGAAATGTCACTGAGAAAATGAAACGGTATCATCATTGGGCTCATATGCTATCTGTGTGAGTGTGTATTTGGAGATAATTGTGATTGCCTTTGTGAACTTTTCCTGTGTGCTCTTTCATTTTCTCCTCCTTGCATTATATGATACTACTGCTGTGGCACCACCAACTCCAACTGAATTTCTCTGAAAAATAGCATACAACCTCTTTTGCCGTTTGCTCCTAGAATCCTTTAACCTGACTTGTCTCACCAGTTATCCATACACTTAACACTATTGGATCAGATCCTTCTGTGCAGACATCCTTTTCCCCCCTTGCAAGGCAAAGCAAAATCTTTCTTTCCCTATATCAATCTGACTCCATCATGTGACTGTGTTTTGTCATACATATACTTCTTCTTGCAATTGATTGCCAGGTTTATCTGAGGTCACTGGCGATTATCATACTGTAAATAGCGAATTAATCTTCCTGGGAGGGGCAAGGAGTCAATAAGGGAAATACGGTTTTTCCCAATCAAACTTCTAATTTTGATGCGGCAGAGGTGAACAAGTGGCCTTGGTGGTTCTGAAAAAGAAAATAATATCAGATAAGTAAAATGATAGTTATAAATGTGTTTTAAAATCAGTTTTGACCTGATGATTCCAACATTGTTTCTTTAAAAATATTCTATGCAATCACTAAAAAACCTATGTTCATACAGAGTTCATTTTCAAGTTTTAACACCATCAAACAATCAAAACAATTTAAGTTAGGTCACAGAGACGACACTAAAAATATAACAATCCAACAACAATAATTATTATCAAGGAATTCGAAAAGCGGTATAATCTAGGCTTGTGCATTTCAGCTGAACCTCGAGCCGTTTCTGCTGGTTGAATTCCGGAAGACTTGTGGATGCGTTTTTGTATGCCTCCAAAAAACAGGCGAGTTGCCAAATAGCTGTTTTTGGTTCACAGCCTAAATATCTGGGATCTGGCCCATTGGCAGGAATGGGGCATTTGCAAGGCTCCCCTTTATGTTCCTGGGATCCTTTCCTTTCTTCCGTTCAAGTGAGCCTGGGTTTGAGCAATGGGGTTAAGGAAGCATCCTTCCTGGGAACCTTTCCTATCTTTTTTTCAAGGGAGTCTGGGTTTGAAGAACTGGGTTAAAGAAGCATCCTTCTTGCTGAATACGGGAGGAGGAGCTGTAATCGGCTGCCACACAGTGCCGTAACAGAAGAAAATATGTGATGTCTGTGCCCTTATTGTTACATCCATCCAGCCAAGCTGCATAAGCCAGATTGACCGAAGGGAACCGACCACTCCGAACCTGTGCACAAGCCTAGTATTAACACTACACTATCTAATTTGACTCATCAGATTCTTGTTTGAGATATTAACAGGATAAAATATGAATGAGATCCAAATATCTGTTCATAACTACTTCACCTCTTCCTTTGTAAAGTGAGCAACGATCCTAACCCATTGTTATGCATGTATCCCATTACAACTGAGCTATGGTTAATGGCTTCCAAATAAGCTAGGCTATGGAAGCCAACCTTAAACTACGAATACTAATAACCATAATTTCCTACTTTGAAGTGATTATTCACAGAGGTTCTTGGTTCACTATGGAATCTTAATTTTAAACAGGTGTTAGATGCAGGGATTAGGATTAGACACAAGGTGTCACTTGTCATCATAAATCCCCTTTGGTCAGAAGAGTCCTTATACCAGGTTAGCATAGGCCCCTTCCTTACAGCTGAATAAAATCCTGCATTTTCTGCTTTGAACTGGAATATATAGCAGTGTGGACTCAGATAGCCCAGATCAAAGCTGATATTGTGGGATTTTCTTCTTTGATATTCTGGGTTATATGACTGTGTGGAAGGTCCCTTAAAGAGCTGTTGATGGAGCTGCTAGTCATCAGATCTACTCTGACTACTAGAGTTCGTCAGCATTAAACCTATAAAAGGAGTAGAATGAGGGTGGAAAGAAACTACATCAGATCTAAACCTCCTCCATCTCAGCAGTAGTCACAATGCCAATATAAAGGACTCTGTTTGGGGCCAGTGGAACAACTTTCCATTGAAAAGTAATGGTAATGTCAGTTATATTATGATGTAGAATCACACAGAGAATTAACCAACCTGCTTTTAATTTAATGTTAGACCACCCTTCATAACTGTCGATATGCTCCTTCAGCCGGGAACAAAGTTGCACGTTGCCCACGTAATCTAAAAGAACATCAATAATCGGTCCTGCCCAACGACTTATCTCTGGAGCTGAAACCATTTCACAAAACTGGAGAGAAAAATAAATTAACGAATTAATGAATAAACGACTCCCATATCAGTGATCTTTGAGCAGTTGAAACAAAACCTGAAAATACTGGCGTGGGGGGCAAATACATTAATAAAGCCAGCAGGCCATAAAACTTTAACAGGCAGATAAAAGAAAAACCAGCTTACTTAAATGAAAAATGAATATAGATGAATTCATAGTGCAAGTGATCATATGATCAGTTGCATATATATGGGGAAGACATAATAAAAAGAGTACAAACTTTACATTACTGCCTTATTATACATACTTATAGCTGCTATTTGCCAATTTTTAAACTTTTACACACACAGATAGTCCAATATTCTGAAAAACATCTCAGGGACTATCACATTTCCAATTGTGTAATAAATTATTAAAATTATTAAAATTTCAACATTAGAGATCTTATAAGTTTGTATTCCAGGCTAAAAATATATAGGTGAAATATCTAAATGTAAGTATGATTGCTTGATTTTATACTAGCCTGTGCCAGGTTTTAGTTCAAACTTTAAATGAGGTATCCAAGTGCTGAATCTATCCTGCAAATAGATACAATACTTTGAATAGTTATTTGGTATTTCAGATTGAGACCAAGAGCCACCAGCTGTCCTTATTCTAGACATGAGAAATTATATTTCAAAATTGAGTTCCAACGTGTTTTGGTTGAGGAACCAATGCTGTTTTCTTGCAATTCCACTTGAGGGAGCTGTACACATTTTTATTTGGGAAGTATTGATTGATAAGGATACATTTGAGACCAGATGGGGAACAGTTTTCTGGGAAAGTGAATGCGAATATCTTTATTAAGCATATTATGAATTCATATTTAGATGGTACATTACTGTTACATAATATTACATAATATTATTGTGACAGTGGAAACTACTGTTATTTACTCATGTTCATTGTAGGCTAAGAAATTTTGAATAAACTAGGGTAAGAAAATTCAAAAAAGGTCATGACTTCAGGGAAGTTTTCTTTCTTCAGTAACTATATGAACCAGACATACAAGTCGGGGCAGTTCCACACAGCCCTTTAAGCCAGGAGCAATCACTAGGAATGATTTTCCTCCTCCCCTCTTCTCTTGGCGCATCATTGGTACAAGCCAGGAGAACTCCAGAAAAGGGGAAATGGCAGCTGGGTATATTCCTTTTTTAAAGGCTTTAAAAGGGGTTTTTGAGAGGGGGTGGGAGCTGTCTTGGGTTTCTTGGGCTCCAGCAGCCCAAGAAACCCAAGACAGATGTGTAGTTGGTCATGCAGTGCAATCCCCAGTCCCATCTACACAGCGCCTGAAGCTGGAAAGACCCATGTCTTCTGAAAGAGCTGGGTCTTTCCAGTAGACAAATTACCTTGACACAAACCAGGGTTTCTCTACTTTGTGCCAAAAGCACCAGTTTTTCCCTGAAGCATTGTCTGGACGCCCCAGGGGAAAACGTGGAAGGAAGCACACTATAGGTACTGCCGTTAGACACAGAACCAATGTCAAAGCGCTTCCATATATTTTGCAGAAAAAAAAGTGACATGCAACATAATTTTTCACAATACCATTTAGAGGTGTGAAAATTTTGTTCTGAATATAATCTCATGTAAAACTTGTTGCTGAACGTAATTAGAAAGCATATCAGGAACAAAGTTTTGTCCCAGACCACTTCCTGATGTTCTAATATATTATACATATGGAAGAGATTTTACAAATAAATGATGACCCTTTTGTCAAAGGTTGTATAGTCTAGAACACTATTTCATTGTGTGTTCACCTGCACCTTCTGTTTTTCATATATCTGGTCATCTCACAGAAACTTCCAAAAGGCATAGTGTAGATAATTTGTATTTTATTTTTCATTTAGTTCCTTAAAGACTTCTGCATTTAGCTTACACAAAAATCCAATTTGCCCACACAATATGTAAAACAATACAAAATGCAAGTCTATAGAGAATAAACTTTCACACAGGATTCTTATTACAGTCTTCTTTAGCACAGCACATTTGTTGCTGCTCTTGCTGTTGTTGCTGTATGTTTATAGCAACCCTAAAGTACCCTTTTACAGGGTTTTCTTGGGAAAAATTGTTCAGAGCAGGTTTTCATTGCCTTCCTCTGAGACCAAGAGATTGTGACTTGGCCGAGAACATCCATGACCAAGTGGGTATTTGAACTCTGATCTCCAACATCTCAGTCCAGTACACAAATCACTACACATACTGGCTCCTAACATAGCCAGTGCTCATTTCTTAAATCATTAGCAACACCAAGGAAACATATTTTTGTAAAATGGGGAAGGGGGAGCCTCCATTTTTAATACAAACATCTCCCAAATATACTGCCCTGAAAATAGAAAAGAATGATTCTGAAGCTAAATGAAGTACATTGTTTAGGAAAGAACAAGAATGGAAAAATAAGCTGTAAATAAGAGTTTCTCTCCCGGTGAAATTGTTCAAGTGCCCTCTAGTGGAATTCAGTTAAAATATCTCTCTAATTATTGGCTTGTTTCACTGTTGCCTTTCTTTTAAAGTTTCACTTTCATTCTCATATTTCTGTAATGATCTCTTTTAATCTGGATTTTGGATATTACCACAAGCCTGCTGCTATCTCATGCTGTTCCAGTGACATGGGATAGCAACAATTTACCAGCACAGAATCTGATGACAACAACGACAACAACAACAACAACAATTTTATTTCTTATCCACCTCTCTTCATGGCTTGAGGCAGGTCACAGCACAGTCAAAAGACACAAACATTGCAAAAATTCTATAAACACACACATTAAAATATAGTTCTTCATGATCCCAGGTAAGTCCTAGGATTGCAAAGTAATCAGGAACTATTGACCTGATTTTCAGATCAATAGCCTCGAAGAGTTTCATTGTGAGGTGGTGGCAATGGCACCATCATCTTTGTGATGGTCCACCTGCTGTGCTTGTTTGCCAACAGTGTGCAATAAAGACCTTTGCCCTTTAAAGCCTTCAGAGACAACATGTACGAAAAAATCACAGATGATCTCTTTTAGGCCAGGGCATAGAGAAGCAGATTATTATCCAATAGTCTCTCAGCAATGTTCAATGTACAAAGATCCCTCTGTTGCTTAGATCTCATTTATGTTCAAGATACAGTTCCTGAAAGTTATTTACTGACTCAGCTAAAAGTACTCAAAAAGTCCAAGGCTAAGCAGAATTTTTTATCCAATATGAAATATTGGGTGTTGATTCAAATCATAAATTTAAAAAACTGCCATATAACTGACAAGAAGTTACTATGTCTTTTGAAAAATTACTTCTTAGGACTGTAGCTCCTAAAACTTCCTGCCACCACAGGCACTCTCCATGTTTTTGGATGGCTTCTGGGACTTGTAGTCCATATATAAAAGGTAAAGGTTTCCCCTGACATTAAATCTAGTTGTGTCTGACTATGGAAAATGGCACTCATCCCCATTTCTAAGCTGAAGAGCCGGTGTTACCTCTAAGGTTATGTGGCCAGCATGACTGTATGGAGCACCGTTACCTTCCCGCAGAAGCAATACCTACTGAGCTACTCACACTTGTATGTTTTCAAACTGCTAGGCCGGCATAAGATAGACCTAGCAGCAAGAGCTCACCCTGCTGCTCCCCAGGCTTCAGTCAGCTACTTCAGCAGCTCAGCGGTTTAACCCGCTGTGCCACCAGCTCAGATATATATCTGTGCTGAATACTGTACAGCTGACATTTTAGAATTTCTGATGGAGTTTCCAATTGCAGTTACTTACCCTATTTTAAATCAGAAAACCAAGAGACTGAAAGTGGTGACTTCCAAAGACAGACTGTATCATTATCTAAGTCATGGTTTTGCTCTATATGATCATTATAATACTACAGAGAAAGTATAAGGCAGCTTACCTGTACATTTCTTTGCTCTTTATTCACTTGGGGTTCATCATTAAACCTGTCCCTCCTCGTTTCAATGGGAGGATGTGGACCGCATCCATACTGACACTTAAAACAGGAGTAGGCATCACATCCCAAATCCATCAGATATTTCAACAGGGCAAGATACTTCATTGAAAACATGATGGTAGCGGGAAACGTAGTAGGGTGGGAGGCAATGTAGGCATCAATGTTGGCTCCATAGTCAAGAAGCAGCTTCATTGTCTTTAAGCAACCATGGCGGATGGATATGAGCAGTGGGTTGATGAGATCGACATTGGGATTGGCCCCAGCCTCCAGAAGCAGTTCAGTAGCATAAATATTGTTGTTAATAACTGAAAAGTAGAGGACACTGGTGCGCCGGTCTTCATAAAGTCGAGAACGTTCCTCTGAGAGAATGGCATTCACATCAAATCCAGCCTCAATCAGTTCTTCCAAGACATCATCACGGTTGCTTTCAGCTGCCAAATGCAAAGGACTGATGCCACTGCGCTTGATTCGAGTGCGACTAGTTACAGGGAGAAGCATTTTCAGAATCCTGGCAAAACAATGAATCAAGGATCAAATATGCATCTTTTCTGTTTGCTTTCATAGCCTACTGTATAGGAATCTCTGTTTGATAGGTGCTGTGCTAACGTATCACAGAAACAAATAATCTCTGCTGTCAACGTGCTTATGATACATGATCACAAGAGGCTTTGGGAAATCAACAACAATCTACACCTAGACTCAGGTGTAGGTTATATTTCTACATAATTTTGAAGGCAGTATGATAATGAATGGGAATCCCTGCTCCATGTTTCCTTTGACTTGTAAATACAATATTGCCTATTCCATCAACTCCGTTGGACTGGCCATGTTGTTGGAATGCCCAGTCACAGTCTCCCAAAGCAGTTAATATACTCCCAACTCAAAAATGGGAAATGTAATGTTGGCAGACAGGAAAAGAGATTTAAAGATGGGCTTAAAGCCAACCTTAAAAAGTGTGGCATAGACACCAAGAACTGGGAAGATCTGGCCCTTAAGCACTCTAACTGGAGGTCAGTTGTGACCGGCAGTGCTCCAGAATTCGAAGAGGCACAAATGGAGGGTGAAAAGGAGAAATGTGCCAAGAGGAAGGCGTGTCAAGCCAACCCTGACTGGGACCACCTTCCACCTGGAAACTGATGCCCTCACTGTGGGAGAATATGCGGGTCAAGAATAGGGCTCCACAGCCACCTATGGACCCACTGCCAAGACTCTAGACTTGGAGGACCATCATCCTCAGGTTATGAGGGATTGCCTAAGTAACAATGTCACCAGTTAGTGAAAAGAAAGGCAAAGGATCAGCAAAGGCTATCATCATATGCATTGCAACCCCCCCCCCCCTAATTGAAAGTACTCAAGAAAAAGGTAGAGAGCGAGGTAGAATGAATGACAATATCTAAAACATTCCTGAACAATTCTGGCTTAAGACAGGCTTGTTGCATATATTCCAAGTTAAAGCTGAGAAAAAGTCTATGCTAAGGAGGGGAGACCATTGCCCTCTGGTTTGTTTTGGCCTGTGTAATCTTTTACTGCATGGGGCTGACTGGAATCTATGTCAAAACCCTGGTCTAAACAGACAAAGCATGTGTGCTAGGGAAAAGGAAGAAAAACTCTCAGCGTGTCTACTTGCCTTTACCCTTGCTCTGAAGACATTATGCCCTCATTGGAAAGAAATAACAAAGCTCCCCGAGGAAATTCATGTACAGATCATATCTCAAAACAGAGAGCCTGACCTCACCCCAGCAGTGATGCTCCCTGGAAGGCAGGGTGCTCTTTAGCTGGCAGGTGTCCAGCACTAATAAATGCTTTGTAACTGCCATAATAGCTGAAAAGTCACACACGGTGCTGAAAGGGGAATAACTCAAGTACAGCATTAGTCATCCTCTTGCAATTTATTGGGATTTATTAAAATGTACGGTCTGAGATGGCTTACTGGCTCATGCAGGCTGAATTAAAGAGACACTACAATTTCAAATGGTTTCCTGTCATTGTGTACATCTACATGGTAGAATTAGTGCAGTTTTCACAAGTTTAACTGCCATAGCCAGATGCTATGGAATTCTGGGAGTTGTAGTTGGTCGTTGCACTATTTAGCAGAGAAGGTTAAATAACAACTACCACAATACATCCATCATTTTGATGAAGGTATTGGCCAATGCATACGACCAGTATTCTTTTTTATTACCATACATATGGTAATATGGAGCTCCCGGTGGCTCAAAGGACTAAATCCTTGTGCTGGTAGGACTGAAGACTGACGGGTCATAGGTTTGAATTCGGGGAGAGTGCAGGTGATCTCCCTCTGTCAGCTCCAGCTTCTCAAGCGGGGACATGAGAGAAGCCTCCTAAAAGGATGGTAAAACATCAAAACATCCGAGCATTGCCTGGGCGATGTCCTTGCAGACGGCCAATTCTCTCACACCATAAGGAACTTACAGTTTCTCAAATTGCTCCTGACACGGAAAAATAAAATCCATACATAGCCTGAATCTGTTATACTTATATTGCATCTATTAGAATGCTGTATCTAATATTTCAAACATGTGTTTAGTAGGCTTGGGCGGTTTCATTCGTTAATTTCATAATTCGTTATTAATTTGTATTTAAATTAGCTTACAATCCAATATTGAGCCATGCAGGAATAGTGTGAGGAGTAAATTAGATTCAAAACAATTTTTTCAATTTATTTTGTAATTATTTTGTAATTATTTTGTAATTATTTTGCATGTCTGGTGCAAGTTTTATAGTTGTTGTTTGTTTTATCACACCAACAGTCAACAACAGAGGGAGAGGGAAGCTTCAGAAGTTCCCCCTGTCCCATTTGGAGGTTTTTTTTAGCATATTGCGCAATCGCGTCCGCCATTAATGAATCGATTCGTAATTATACGAAATTTCGTATATTTCAAAATTTTTAAAAGGAAAATTTCGGAATTATTAAAAAAAACGAAACGCAAGGGCCCCCTAAAAACAAAACGAGTTTAGAACTAAATTTTTCCGTGGTTACCCAAGCCTAGTGTTTAGCTGTAAAAATGTATACTACTGATGAAGTGCTTTTCAGAAAAACTATTCCATACATTACTTCTAACATAAAGCACAGAGTGATGTGAATTGATCCGAAGATGCTTTCCCCTATTATTACTTTTATCCTTCTTTTTAAGTCTTTATGTGAGTGATGTAATGTACATACTTAATGTATTCCAAGCAAAAAAGAGCATCATTTTATACATAACATAAAATATATATGATAAAAATAAACTTAAAGGATTTTACTAAAATGCTGTATAAAACATGAGCTGCTTTGACTTGAAATGCCTATTTTGGTCACTGAAATATATTTGTAAAAACTGAACTAATCATACCATCATGTTTGACGTTTAAAAGATGTTATACAAACATTTAAAAGAAGTTATACTCATGTAAATAGTCTCCTGAAGTCTGTTTTGTGTGGAAGTGGATACTTAGGTAGGTATATAGTAGTATAAGACCTTTTATACATCTTTCATGGCTGGAATCACTGGGTTGCTGTGGGTTTTCCGGGCTGTATGGCCATGTTCCAAACAGACAAGAGTTCTTTCTTCCACCCTGGACATTCTACAGATATATAAACCTCACTTTCCTAGTTTCCAACAGACCCTCAACCTCTGAGGATGACTGTCATAGATGTGGCGAAATGTCAGCAAGGCTTCTGGAACATGGCCATATAGGCCAGAAAACTCACAGCAACCCACCTTTTATATGGTTGTATAAATATTTCAAGTTTCATACACAAATAGATGGTCATCTTTTTATTTGGACATCTTTAGTCTCTTTGTCTCGCTTCCATAATAATAGGCTCATCCACAAGCTCTGCTTTACTGACTTATTCAATTTATATACTGCCTTTCTTTCCCAACATGGAACCCATTATTTCTTGGTAAAATAGATGGAACTCCATTGTCAATATATTTATCCAGATACTAATGCACAGGATATTAATTATCCACCACATCTTGATCATAGATGCTAGTGATTGTTAGGTGTTAATAATATTACACTAAAGTCAAGAAGTTGAAAGGTACACTTTCTAAAACAAATGGAGACAATTGTGCATAATAAACAAATGATCAGCAAGAACATATATATCTCCCTGGCCTTTTTAATGTTATGGAGCTTTTATTTTCTGGCAGTGACTCTGAACACAGGATTCCTGCAGAATGACGTATTAAATCCACATGCTTAAAAAGAGAGATTGCCATGAACAGCGTTGTTATTCAGAATACCAAAGGGATTAAAAATAACTGGCTAAAGAGGAGGGAGGCAAGGTTCGTACTTTAGATACTTGGTCTGAGTCACTATAGATGGAAAACTGTTTCATTTCATAGCTTTTTTTTTTTTACTACTGTTTGATTTTACATCTTTAAACCAACTTTTGCACAATGAAATTCTGCTTGGGATCTTGTTTATTTGCTTGGTTGCTTGGATTTGAAGTTGAGAAGGGTCCAATAGCATAATCACATTTTTGCTTCAGTGATTTTATTTTACCTTGTAAAATTATATAAAATGAATTTTGGCTCCTGTTCTATTCCTGGAAGCACTCCACTAACATTTTATTCACAAAGATTTCAGTTTCTTTGCTGGAGATACTGAAAATACAGATATAAGAGTAATTTAACCAGGGATACTCTAACTGCAAGATTCCTGCATTGAGAAAGACTCTGAACGAAATTAATGCTATTCAAAGAGGTAGCCTATGGACTGGACTGGTGCTGGTCCATGAGACGTTGCCTGTTAGTCCACAGCAAATTTCAGGAAAGAAACAGATGTACTCCCTGTGTAGAGATGTTATGTCAGTCCTTAACACACTGGGGAGGGAGAGATAGCTCATTACTTGGTATTTTATATGGTTTGATTGACTGCTATATGTTTTAATTGTTTATATACTTAGATTGTTTCTATTTTGATGAGATGTATTTTATTATTTACTTGAGTGGCACTGAATTTTTGCCAGATTTGTAGGCTGCTTTGAGTCCCCTTAGGGGTTGAGAAAGGCGGGGTAGAAATGAAGTAAATAAATAAATAAAAACTGCTTTGGTTGTCCGGGACTAAATAATTAACTTCAAGGATTGTTCCAAGTCTTATCAGTGGTTCAAATTTAATAGTATACTCTGGTGGTGGTTGTTGTGTACCCTCAAGTTGTTTCCAACTTATTACTCTAAGGGCCCTTCCACACAGCCATATAACCCAGAAAATCAAGGCAGAAAATCCCACAATATCTGCTTTGAATTGGGTTATCTGAGTCCACACTGCCATATGTTCCAGTTCAAAGCAGAAAATGTGGGATTTTATTGAGCTGTGTGGAAGGGGCCTTAGACAAACCTATCACATAGGTTTGGAACTCTCTCCCCATCAAAGTTAGGTCTGCCCCCTCCCTCCTGATCTTCAGGAAGCAGCTGAAATCCTGGCTATGGAATTAGACATTCGCAGATTAGATGGATTGAACTGGTAAAGACTAAGAGTTATTGGACCACAATGTTTGGATTGAGTTGGATGATGTTTTTTAACTTGGCGAACTGTCTTTTATATGTATTTTATAACTTATTTATTATGTATGTTGTTTTTAAAATGTTATTTATTGTGTAGCATTGAATTTTTACTGTTGTAATGCATTCTGAGTCCCTCCAGAGGGGAGTTTCCTTTGTCTTACTCTGAGATGGAGAGATTGTGACTTGCCCAGGGTAACCCAGTGGAGTTTCCACAGCTCACCAGAGACTTGGGACCTTATCATCTGCCAAAGGTGCTTTGAATGTGATTGTCCTGCTTCTTGGCAAGGGGTTGGACTGGCCCACAAGGTCTCTTCCACCTCTATGATTCTATGATGCTATGATCTCCTCTACTGAGTGAGCAACTGTCTCCCTGCCTTTCCTCCTGTCCCCTATGCCTTGTTTCCTGGACATATACCTGTCACTGTGCCTTTCCTGAAAAATTGGATATAAAAAAGAGGTTGGTAGTCAAATGACCTCAAAAAGTCCTGCACAACATCACCGTTACTTTTAAAACATTTTGGGGCAGATCTTGCACAGCTGCACAAGTCTGTAACCTCTGTCCCAATGGGGAAAGAGGAAAACATGTTTTTCTGTTCATATGGAGTTCTGCAGTTCAAACAATTAAATAAAAAGTAAACAATAATGTGAAAGTAGAAAATATGAATAGCTTTACTCAGTGTCTTTCCCTGACTGCTAACAGAAGTGTACTGCTGACTGATTCAACAAAGGAGAATCAATTGGTAGGAAAACACCCCCCCCCCCCCAAAACACACCTTAGGGGTTCACATCACTGAAGAGATGCATATGCAAGTACAATCACAATTGACAAGCCATAGCTCTGCCGCATTGAAAAAAAAGCTATGGGTGAAGATGATTTGGATTCCATTTTACAAACGCTACTGACTGCATACACTTTGCATGCAAGTTCCTATGGGTTGCAGATGAAATGAGCCATGTGCCATGTGATCATACCCATAGGGAGTCATATGCAAAGGGTATTAGTTATTTCTCTTTGTGACCAAGTCCTTGAACTCTGGTCTCTAGAGTTTTAGTCCAACGCTCAAACCACTACACCACTCTGACTGGTGTGTACTTTGGTATCGATAATCAGTGGGATTAGGTCTTTATTTTCCTCCTTTCTTGCTATAGGTCTCCACAGTGCCTAAAATCCTGCTCCAAAGGATTTTGTAACCCTCTAGGGTAGGTTTTGGGGAAGAAGAGTCACTAAATTTAGCAAAAATGATGAGATCTAACAAAAAATATATCATTAACAGAGGCCAAAAATTCTAACAATCCTGAAAATTAATGAAGCAACTTACTTATAATAGCCTTTTTTAGAGGCCATGTGAATAGGTAATAACCCATTCTTATTGGCTTTGTTAGCATCAGCACCCTGAGACAAGAGGAACTCCACAATGTTCTCATGGCCATTTTTAGCAGCTTCATAGAGTGCAGAGGCTTTGTCACTGGCTTGGGTATTAATATCAGCTCCTAAGAATGAAAGAGATATAAGACACCAGTTAGTTTCAGCAGAATAAAGTTAGTTGGTTATGTCTGTTATAAAGAGGAAATCCAGACTTCTCCTGGCCTCATGTTAGTGTAGTAGCATAAACCATACACAAACTGAACACAACAGAGAATATCTACAGACAGAGAATCCCTTGCTCACTAAATAAGAGGGAGCATGTTCCCTTTGGGGTATTTCTTCTTCTTCTTCCTCAGGTGATTATAGCAATATACAGAGTATAGGAATAATTTATTATTTGTTTGTTGGAAGGCAGTTGCCCTCCAACTCCAGGCAATCTTGGATGACACACACTTCCTTGACCCATTTCAAGCCGGCTTTAGAGCAGGATACAGAGTTGAGATTGCTATGGTCACCTTGGTGGATGATCTCCGTCTCAACACCAACAGGGGGAGTGCATGGTCGATGGTATCAAAGTGGCCTTTGATACCATCAACCATGGTGTTCTTCTGGGAATCAGAGGTACTGTGCTGCAGGTCATAGCTGTCAGACAAGTTTCAGATGGTGGCACTTGGGGATAGCTGCTCCTCAGAAAAAGAGCTGTGTCATCCCACAAGATGCCATTCTATCCCCAATATTTATATGAAGCTGCTGGGAGAGATCATCCATAAGCATGGGGGCAGGATGGTATCAGTATGCTCATGATACCAAATACATTTCTCCATTCCTTCAAAAACAGCTTCAACTTTGAAGTAATGCCTGGAGAAGGTAATGGGCAGGATGAGGAAAAACAAATTAAAACTGAATCTAGGCAAAACAGAGGTGCTTGTCATCAAGGTCCTAATCTGGGGATGGAGGTATGTCAACCAGTTCTGGATGGGGTGCCCCCCCCCCAAAAGACTGTGTTTTCAACTTGGGAGTGCTCCTGGATCTCTCTCTCCCAATGTCAGACCAGGTAGATGCAACGGTCAGGGAGTACTTGCTATCATCTTTGGCTACTCTGCCAGCTGTGCCCCTTCCTAGAATTGGAGGACCTTAATATGGTACTGCATGTGCTGGTAACCTCAAGGTTGGACTTCTGCAGTGTGCTTTCCTTTGAGCTACCTTTGTACTAAGTTCTGAAACTACAGGTGGTTCAAAATACAATACCCAGATTGATTACAAAAATATCTAGGTGTGAGCATATTACATCTATCCTAAAATCACTCCACTGGCTGCCAACTAGTTTCCAGGCCAAGTGCAAGGTGTTGGTATTGACCTTTAAAGTCCTACATGGTTTGGGTTCAGGTTACCTATAGGCTCTCCTTCTCCTGTACAATCCACCCTCACACTTAGGACCTCTAAGGGGCATCTGGTCCAGCATGCCAGAACCCAACTGGCAACCACAACCCAGAGGACTTTTTCATTGGCCAGCCCAAAACTGTGGAATGACCTGCCAGTAGAGCTCCAATAGCTAGATCGGCTGTCACAATTTAAGACACAAGTGAAGACTTATCTCTTCTGGAAGGCCTACTCAGACAGTTTTAATGGCAAATTTTAAACTTCCATTTTATGTCTAATGTTTGTTTGTGTATTTTAATGTGTATTCTGTGGAAATATGTTTTAATATCAATTAAAACATGTATTATAAGGAGTATTTTTAAATGAGTGTTTTGTTTATCTTTTGCTAATGCTGTTTTAGCAATGTTGTAACCCACCTTGAGCCGTGAGAAGAGGTGGGGGAAAATAAAATTATAACAATTATTATTATTATTATTATTATTATTATTATTATTATTATTCAGCTATGACTTTTATATTTTTTAAAAAAAATCTAAGAATGTTAAATTTCAAATAATGGTTTAAGTTTTGCAGGAGCCTGTTTCATTTCTGTTGGAAGTAGCTTGAATGTGGTGGTATTTTAAAATAATTTTGAGTAAAATGTTTTAAAAATGAAATATTAAAAATGACATGCTAATAACTAATCTTAATACATTATTATTTTTAATGATGTGATATTTGTATGTTAGCATAAATGCTCATGACACCCAGGTTTGGAAATAAAGTTAGATTACATGTTTTTGAACTGTGGTGTTGGAGGAAAATTCTGAGAGTGCCTTGGACTGCAAGAAGATCAAACCAGTCCATATTCCAGGAAATAATGCCTGACTGCTCACTCAAGGCAAGATATTAGAGGTAAAGATGAAGAACTTTGGCCTCATAATGAGAAGACAGGAAAGCTTGGAGAGGAGAATGATGCTGGGGGAGGAAAAATGGAAGGAAAAAGGAAGAGGGGTTGACCAAGGGATGTTATCCTTGAAGTGACCGGCTTGACCTTGAAGGAGCTGGGGGTAGCCATGACTGACAGGGAGCTCTGGCATGGACTGATCCATGAGGTCATGAAGAATCAGAAGCGACTGAATGAATAAACAATGAAAACATGTCAAATGTATTCATTAATAATTACTTTACTTCCATATCGTGCTGGAGCAACATGCTGGTGGTGGATGAATGTTATAGTTCTCAATTTTTTACTGATATAACTTTTTTAAAAATAAGATGAAGGCTTGATGTTTGTACCCATGATTTAAATGGCAAATGTGATGCTATGTATGATGTGTTTGCTTGGCTACAATGAATTCAGTGCCTATGTCAGGGCTTTATGTCTCTGTCAGAATATTCATATTGTACAGCAGGGATCATCGATCTTTTCAAGCAGAGGACTAGTTCATGGTCCCTCAGAGGGTTGGAAGGCGGCGGTGGCGTTTTATAGTTTGTTGCTGTCTGCCTTCAAATTGCTTCAGACTTAGGGTGGCCCTAAGGCAAGAATATCACAGAGTTTACTTTTCAAAATGTATTCAAATGAAATTTGATTTTGTCTTCATCTGAAGTACTGGGAAACAGAATTTACTCTGGAACTTCCAGGAATGGAAAGCTGGAGCAGGGTGTATCTGGCCTGATCCATTATCCACACACTTCCTTTAGCCTCACACTTGTATTGCTAATCAAGAGCAGCTTTCTCACAAAGACCTTCTGGTGATGTTGCTTTTTATAAGGTGACAACAGTACACTCAGCCATGTGACCAGGAAAAGCAACATCACCAACAAGCCTCTGTGAGATAACTGCTTCTGATGGATAACACAGTGATGGCAGCAGCAGCCCCAAGCACTGTTGGCCTGGCTGGCCATCTGGTCACAAAAAGGGCTCTGGGGACATTCCAGTGTTGCATGACAGCAGCTCCAGAATAGTATATTTCAGATTATTTGGATAAGTGTTGATGTAGTCTTTGTCATCTCAAAGTGATTACTTGCAAAGAGCTTTTGGGGGGAAAAGCTGAGGGAGTTATGAGATCAGACTGAGGACTGCAAAGACCCTAGATCTATATGTACTTTCCCCATCATAATATAATGTGAAATTCTAATATGCCAGTCAGTCAGTTATCTCTTGCTTGGTCACATAGGCTGTAGTCCAATGTACACTAAATTTGAGAAAAAGCCTCATCGCACAGTGTGGGACTTAACTTTGAAATAAACATGCGTAAGCTTCAGCTGCAAAGGTCTCTGCCAAAGAGAATCTGCTTCTCTTGCAACAACAGAAAGTCCTCTGTTATGTTTGGCAGTTTTAAGATAACTGTAGCTAGGAACACAATTACAAAGTCCTAAACCAGGCTACTTCTTAATGAGAAAGAAATGGGATATTTATTTCATGGCAAACTCTCTGCATCGTACAAATAATAAAGTTATTATTGGAGGGACTTTTAGTGCTTGGAATAGTTGTACAGTTTTATTAGATTTTTCTCTTGTGAATCTTTTGCTAATACTGTTCACAGAATTGTAAAGTTATAAAGATCTCAAAAGTCATCTAGTCTAACTCCCTTCTAATGCAGAAAACCCACAGCGAAACCATCCCTGGCAGAGGGCCACCCAACCTTTCTAAAAACAGCTTCCCACAAAGGAGTACATGCTGCATTTTATAGATGTTTATTGCACCATTGAAATTTTTTTATCTTTTGGAACTAAAACTAGAAGCTCTTTTGCATTGCAGTTTTTGCACTTTGATATCAATTGAAATGGCTACATCCTATGAGGACGTTGGATTTTTAGTGCTGTGAGGGATAAATCTGTGCCAGAGAGCTATCAGCAAACTATGTACAGATCTCAGAATCCCATAGAATGCATCTACCATTGTTCAAGTACTATCAACATAACTCACTGAATTTACTCTTAAGATTAAATTTTGAAGATTAAATATCTTGCTAATGAAACCAAATTAGGAAAAAGAGTGTAAAGTTATATTATTAATTTGTTAGAAAATGTGACCCGTGTCTCCAACAAGGAAAAAAGATCCAAACATGCCTTAGACTGCATCTAATTTTTTTCCTCCCATAGGTTGCAGTGGGAGGATCTTCTTGCTGAATGGAAAAAATGAGCATTAGTAGGGGACTTTCTATGTCAGAATTGCCAGGCTGGTTTTTGGCTAACGGAAACTTCTTTCTCTTCAGGATCCCAACCTTAATTGATGAACTAAGGACATGTGGATTATCCAGTAAATGCTGCTGTACTAATGTGCCTAATGGTTCAAATGGTTCAAATAAGACAAATATATTATGAGGTCTCCAATGTAATCACAACAAATGTTCTAAAAAGCTCAAGCTTTTGTACAATTCATTTTGTGTAGTTCCTTGTTGTTCATTCATTCAGTCGTTTCCAACTCTTCATGACCTCATGGACCAGCCCATGCCAAAGCTCCCTGTCGGCCGTCGCCACCCCCAGCTCCTTCAAGGTCAAGCAAGTCACTTCAAGGATAACATCCATCCATCTCGCATTTGATCGGCCCCTCTTCTTTTTTCCTTCCATTTTTTATTCCTATGGACTTCTAAATCTTATTCAAAACATCCCCATCACTACTACCATAATATAAAATGTAACTTTGTCTTTTTAATGCAAAATTGTGGGGTATTGATGCATATTAAAGGCTAACAACCTTATCACATGGGGATGTCATTTTGCAAGTATGATAAAATGACAGGCTCAGCAACACTTTCCCCATTATACAGGGGAAGCGTCACCCAAATAGGGCAGAAGTGTGCTGGCTCCATCAGAGCAGGCACAACACAGGAAGCCTCCCATGTTGCAGGGAGAGTGTCCGGCATTGTTTTTTTGACCCCAGTTGGGGATGGAAACATAGCCGAAAGTCACACAGAGTCATGTGATGGCTGCCGTGAGGTTCCGTTCTTGAAGAAGGCTCTAAGCATCTGCAGACACTTATTTTCATTAATGTGATGAGGTCATAAGTCCCATATTTAGTATCAACTGGATTAGTTCCATTGACTCATTGGAACCATTGCCACCACTGATTAAATTTCCACTGATTCATTGGGGCTGTTCCACTTGGGACTAACAATTCAATTTAGGCCTTTGTTATCTGAAAATTATGTCTTTGACCTCTTTGTTTGGAAATGTTGCCTGATGGTATCAAAAACAACTATCCTCCAAATCCTATATTACCTTTTGAAAATCTCATTGTTCAGAAATTACTAATCACTTTCCAAATGTAAGTCACAGTACACGAAATGTAGGTTTTCTGTTCTACTTACCACACTTGGCAAGGTATCTCAAAGCTTCTAAGTGACCACTCTCAGCTGCCACAAATAAAGAAGTGATTCCATAACAATTTGCAGCATCAATCTTGACGCCAGCTTTGACCAAATGTTCTATTATGTCCAAATCATTTCTAGCAACAGCTTCATGGAGAGCAGTCCATCCCCGATTGCAACGGTGATTTGCATCAGCATTATACTGCAATAGCACTTGGACGGCTTCAGCATTTTTGCGTTCACAGGCTGTCAGTAAAAAAGAAGATTGGGTTTAGTCTAGTGTCATTCTATGGCCATGGCCATATTCACACTGCAAAAATGTAGCCGTTTTATGCCACATTAACTACCTCAATGCTATGGAATTCTGCAATTTGTAGCTTTGTGAGATACGTGCTCTTCTCTGTCAGATAGTTCTAGTGCCACAGCAAATTACAAATCTGGGAATTCCATAGGAAGAAGCCATGTCATTTAAAGTGGGTTCAAATGTTCTGGAAATACTTAATAAAGAATTGAAATAAAATCTTCCATTGCTATTAGTTTACGATTTTAAAATTCTGGATGAATATGCACATTTCTGCTATACACATCATGTCAACACAACTGGTTTTGTAAACAATAGTTATTTCTAAAATATAATCCACAAAAAGTTCAATAGTAGCCATACAACTAGAAAAGAAAATGAGAAACCCAATAATATAGGAAAGAGAGGGAGGAAGGGAACTAGAAAGAACAAAAAGAAGAATGAAGTCTTAACTAAAATTAAGGCAACATCTGTCACATCCATGTTGAAGGCAACATCTGTGGTTTTGAACACACTTTCCTTGAAGCAGGAAGAAACTGACTTAAGTTGGAAGCATGACTACATCTATCGTAGGTCTTGTCTGTATTGCCATATAAAATTTATTTCTTTATTTACTATATTTGTATACCACCCTTCTCAGCCCTTAGGTGACTCAAATGATCTACTTTGAACTGGATTATCTGGCAGTGTAGACTCATATAATCCAATTCAAAGAAGATATGGATTATTTGCTTTGATAATTTGGATTATATGGCAGTGTAGAAGGGACACTAGTTGAGATAGTTTCGAATTGCTTTAAGGTCAGACTCCTGAATTAGCATCAGGTGTATTGTTTGGTTATATTTATGACAGATTTGTAATTTACGGCTCTTTGAAACAAGACTCTTAGTGTTATTTGTTGCCAAATTGCAAAGATTTTCAGAAGTAGTTAGATTTCTGGATGGGCCTTATGTTTTCATAACATGCTTAATAAAAGGTATTATTAGAAATATCTGAAACACTTTAAAATTTTTGGATAACAAGAAGCCACTTTTCAAATAATTTTTTTCCAATGAAAAAGCTTTATTGTAATTCTAATATGTAATATAAACCAAAATGCTTTCATTTTTCAAATGGGTTTTGTTGCAAAGACATCTGGGAGATGTAGGATTTTAGATATGACTGCTAAAAAGGAAATTGAAACTTTTATCATGTGAATTTGTGGGCATATCTACACTAACCAGTAATCCAGAGCCTGTTCAGAACAGAAACTGGAACCCTTAGCAGTTGCTGCTTGGTCTTCACCTGGTCCAGCCAAGCCAAGACCACATCTGCCCCACTGAACTGTCACCTCACCTTCTATGTTGCTGTCACTCCATGTGAGCTCCTGGCCACTGCAAGCACCCTATGTTGACATCAGAAGGTGCGTCAACACATCTCAGAAGAAGAGGTGGTAACAGTGGAAACAAAACCCAATCCATCCTATTTCCCATGCACTGATGGGTGTGGGGAGAAAAGGTAATGGCAATAGTGTCCCCTATGGACGTGATCCAGCTGTCCAACAAAGTTGCAGGATACTCTGGAGTTTGAAGCATTCCTTGAATTTTCCTAAAGCAGGGCAGAGCCAGATTAACCTGCCATAATCCGCAGTACTCATCAGATGTGGAGGAATATCATTAGAATAAGGCTTGTTGTTCAGCTGGAGATCATAGAATCAAAGAGTTGGAAGAGACCTCATGGGCCATCCAGTCCAACCCCCTGCCAAGAAGCAGGAATATTGCATTCAAATCACCCCTGACAGATGGCCATCCAGCCTCTGTTTAAAAGCTTCCAAAGAAGGAGCCTCCACCACACTCCAGGGCAGAGAGTACCACTGCTGAACGGCTTTCATAAATTAAACTGCATCAAATCAAATTTACTGTAGTAAATTTTGAATTTGTGTGATTTGTGAAAGGATGATAGCATTTCTTAAGGGCTGACAATAACTGAAATTTGGTCAGGTACAGGATTTACTATCAGCAAAAGAAACTGATGTTTTATCTTTTTATAGAATCTAGAGCAGACTATGAGTTCAGCCAGAGTATAATTGTGAACACAAACAGCAAGGGCAAGAAAGGGCATCCTTGTGTTTTCCCCATCTGCCCTGACCATGACTCATTCCCTGTCATTTACTCTAATCACTATCCACAGATTAATCTATATCCTTTGTATGAGTGAGTCAAACATGTGTAGAAAATTATGGTTTCCCAACAGACTGAATACTAAAATCCATTTGATTCTATCAAAAAGCTTGATGGAATCAAGCAATAGCAAGGCTATGCCCGTTTCTGGAGTTTGAAAGAATGTAAAATTTTCATAATTCAGGCGCAGGCGCTTTCTGGGCCTACATGCACACACTCTCTTTCCAAGGCAAGGAGGCAAGTTCTCATTCATACTCTAGAGGAGGCACTCAGCTGCAGGCAGGCGTGTGTGTTTTCTGGACTAGCACACCACACACACTCTCTTTTTCCAAGTTAAGGAGGCAACAGGCAAGTTTTCATTCTTACTCTAGAGGAGGTGCGCAGCTGCAGGTAGGTGTACACGCTTTCTAGTCCTGCATACCACACACACATGCACTCTGTTTCCAAGGCAAGGAGGCATGAAGTGCCATGTGCTCATGAAAAGCAGGCTCCCTCTTGCTTTCATGTCAAACTGATTTTCCTACTGGGAGGGGGCTTCCCGTTATGTGCTCCCGAAGGTAACAAAAGTAATGAAAGAATGGATGAAATGAAGGGAAACGCTTCCATGCACAACTCTGCTGGAGAACTGAACTGGGGCATTTTGACAGAATGTGAATGATAAATGGCTGTATTTGCAAATTATGCAAATAGTCAAAAGAAGAAACAAAACAAAAAAGCCTTCATCTCTTATTACTGGAAGCATTTTCATATATAAAGACAGTTCTAAAGGCCAGCTCTGTACACCTTTTGTGTAAACATGTATGGTAGTTTTTCACCCAAGATTTCATGTCAACATGTTGTTTACTTGAGGGACTCAAGACCAATGAGAAGAGGTCACTCACCTTTATAAAGTGGCGTCTCCCTAGATTTGTTTGCAATATCAGGTTCTGCTCCTGCCTGCAACAATACACGCATGCAATCAATATATCCTCTGTTTGTTGCTATGTAGAGTGCCGTTTCCTCCTGAAGTGTACGCTGATCAATTGTCCCAGGGTAAGCTATTGAGAAGACAGGGGGTTATATGTAGCAGGACATATAGCACACATAGATAAGTCTACCATCAGTAGATATTATGATGATTCCTATGACAAAGACTACATTTTATATGTACCCTTATGACAGCATGGAAGAATTTCCTGTGTACTTCTGTCAAAGTTGGTGAATGAATCAATCAAATTCAATAGCACAATGATGAATAAAATCTCATTTTTAATTTTATATCACCATTTTCACTTGAACTAGGGCTGTAGTTTCTGTGGACCATACTGAACATCTAGACAAGCCTTGTGGAAAATGTATTCATAGTGGTGGCACAGCAGGTTAAACCACTGAGCTACTGAACTTGCTGATCAAAAGGTTGGCAGTTTGATTCTGGGGAGCGGGCTGAGCTCCTGCTTCTACTAACCTAGCTGTTTGAAAACATGCAAATTTGAGTAGGTCAATAGGTACCGCTCTGGTGGGAAGGTAACAGCATTTCATGCAGTCATGCTGGTCACATGACCTAGGAGGTGTCTATGGATGACGACGCCTCTTTGGCTTAGAAATGGAAATGAGTACCACCCCCAGAGCTGGACATGACTAAACTTAATATCAGTGGAAACCTTTACCTTTACCTTTTATAGTGTTTTCATTAGCATTGCTTTATATTTATAGTTGGCTATATATCCCTATATCAGCAGAAGGTGGAATGAAATTAAAGTAAATAAATGAAATACTGTACTTACATTTATGCAGAAATTTCAAGCAACATGCTTGCCCGTAGTAAGCAGCTTCATGGAGCGGCAACCATCCATCTTTGTTAGGCTGTGCCAGATTTCTTCCTGATTTTATCATATCATACAATGCATTTTCATCTCCTTCCTTGATTGCTGTCACTAGAGGATCTACCACTCTTTAAAATAAAATGTAAAGCTAGTCACTTTTTGCAGAATGTTATTTATATTTGCAATGGCTTATCATCCTGAAAGCTGACATATAGTTATTTGTGTGTGTTGCACATAGAGTGGATCCACATTATCCACTGGGGGTTGTTTCTAGGACCCCATGAGTTATAATAGCATAGTAAAATGGCAAATAATAAGTTTTACTTCTTTCGGATTTCTTTCTCAATATTTTAAGCTGTGGTTGGTTAAATTGGTTGGATGCAGAACCTGTGGATACAAAGGGGTGATTATTTCCAGAACTATACAGAGTGCAATGTACAGGGTAATCTACAGAAATAATGCTTTCTATTGTGGGGAAATTGATTCACTTGATAAGAAACAAGACAACAACTGAAACAAAAAGTTTAATTGCCCTGAAACAGAAATAAGTATATACTAACTTCATAAAAGTTGTCATACCATTTATTCTAGAGGTGTCCTTATTATATTGGGCTACTGGACTTCCCAGGGATGTTTAGAAATACAACAATTATTGCAACCTTAGAGGCACAATCAGAAAGTAGGCATATTGCATAATAACGGAAGCAAAGCAAATAACAGCATATGACAGAAGCAAAAGGACCCAGCAACAAAATAGAAAGAAAGCCAAAACATAAAACACCAAAAGATGAAGACCGACACTTTGAATTAACTCATTTTTCAAATAATTTGCTCTTTTAATTAGTTATCTGTTGCAGTAATGAATGTTAGCAGTTACTTTTTAATGTGAGGATGCAAGTCATTATTTTTCATTTGAACAGGGATGGTTGTCTATTGTTATCCATTATTTGGACTGTGCTGACCAATGGGAAGGGAGGAAGAAGGATCACATTGTTGGCTGCAATCAGAAGGGATTGCTTTGAAATGTATTTTGCATTTCCTCCTAGAATTTCAAAGGCTGGCCATTTGTGGGAATGAGACAGCACAACTTTAAGGATAACGTTGTGAATTAGCTTTTGGACGACAGTATCATGACCTCTTGATTGATGGGATCAATTAACAAAGTAACTGGTCTCTTTCAAAGTGACATTCTAAACTCTGATGAAAACAGGTGTACAGAACTGGAGGAACTGTTATGGAGGTGTGTCTAACCTCAAGAGACTGAAAGCGAAAACCAAAGTTTCAACAACATTTGTCATAGATCTCCAATATGGTGATGACAATGTGTGCGCATTTAGAAGAAGACCTACAAACCACTCTAAACACCTTTGCAGAAGCATACGAGAAGCTCGGCCTGTCATTCAACATTGAGAAAACCAAAATGCTCTTCCAGTTTAGTCAAGACAATGTTGACCATTTCCGCTACCTTGGCAGCCACCTCTCCAAAAAAGCCAACATTGACACTGAAATACAACACCGCCTGAGCTCTGCGAGTGCAGCATTTTTCTGAATGAAGCACAGAGTGTTTGGGGACTGCAGCGTCCATAGGGATACCAAGATTAGGATAGCATATATAGATCAGGATGCAGATATTTACACTACACTCACTCCAACCTTATAATATTTATCACTCTTCTTTCAAAGATTCTATTTTCTTCATCTGCTTTCACTTACCTTTAAAAATACATTTGATACAACTCATTCCCAATCCCCCAAACCAAGGGTTGTCATTGGGCAAGAACTTGAATTACATTAGCCCTTGTGGGTTCCTGGAGGACTACACATTCCAAACTGCCATGTCCTGCTCTCCCAATTTTTGGGGTGATGATGCTTTAAAAAAAATCTTAATTGGCTAATAACTTCCTCAAGCCTGGGGGTGTTACTGCCTTTTTAGCAATATTATTTTGTTATATTATTGCTCCAGTCACTGTTTAGCATTCTTTAATTTTGGTTCAGGCATACATCCAATTCCCTAGTAAGAAAATTTCGTCATTTTAAAATGGTTTAGCCAAGTGTTTAGAAGTTGAGGGGATGTAGGAGAAGGATGCAGGCTGATAAATATAACTGTGTCCTGCAATTCATACCAAGAACAATAAGTATGATCTGACAGTTGTATGAAGTTTGATCTGCTACCTGTTTTTAATGACAAGACTCAGCTTTTAATAATAATAATAATAATAATAATAATAATAATAATAATTTGTGTCAGGAGTGACTTGGGAAACTGCAAGTCGCTTCTGGTGTGAGAGAATTGGCCGTCTGCAAGGACATTGCCCCAGGGGATGCCCGGATGTTTTGATGTTTTACAATCCTTGTGGGAGGCTTCTCATGTCACCGCATGGGAGCAGGAGCTGACAGAGGGAGCTCATCTGTGCTCTCCTTGGATTCGAACCTCCTACCTGTCAGTCTTCAGTCCTGTTGGCACAAAGGTTTAACCCACTGTACCACCGGGAGCTCCAATAATAATAATAATAATAATAATAATAATAATAATAATAATAATAATAATTTTTCTGTTAGGATTTGCTGAGAGTCTTTTTCTTGTCACCCAGTAAGCCTAGTCAGCTCATGCAATTTAGTGAGAATGAATTAAGCTTTCAAAGAAAATTGTTGTAGGCAAGAAAGGCCTAGAAATCAGTTTAAGGAACCTAAACATTTCTGATATTATTGTAAAATATTTCAGCTTAATTAAATTTTATCTTCTCCTTTAAATCAGTCAAACACAAGAGCAAAATACTAGCCCTTTTTGAGCTTCACGTATTAAGTTGTTGGGTGAAAATGCAGCCACATTTTCTAAAACCACTCTATGCCACTGTGAACAAACACAACAATTTTCTGTATACCAATGATCACTAAGAACAGATTCTTCTCTTCATTGTTTTGACCATCTTAAACACATAGTTTTCCTATTTTCTTTTATTATAACACAGACCGAATGGCAGCACAGCTAAAAATAACTTCAGTGAGTTTTGCCTACTCTTTTCACATGGGAACAGGTCAGACTAAACCAACTGCAAGACAACCATCCTGTTTCTGACTTCAATCGCTTTAGTATAATGAAGTGTTCTAAAAGGTATAAAGATGATGGCATGAAGTTAAGGTGATGGTTTTAGGACTAGTGGGGGTATGTTAGTTGTGGAGAATGAGAAGGGCAAACTGTAGGAGAGAATGTAGAAAGTTAGCAAAGTTCATCTCAACTAGTTATGTGAAATCTCAGGAAAACATCCAGTAGTTTAGTCAAGACAAGCATATAATGAAGGAAGTGATTTTAATAAGGAAAGGGCGGGAATATTTGGGAGGGGAACTTACTCCGGCTGGGGTGAAGTGAACAAGGTGCCGTTATATCTCCGTCTTAACCCCTGAGATGACCCGGAGCTGGAAGCTTGAAGCTGGCTTCCGGACTGTACAGCCTGCCTGAAGTGACGATGGCACGAATGAAACAGCGAGAAATATTCTGAATACGAAAAACAAGTCATATCTGGATTTCTTGAAGGAGGGCTTGGAGATGGAGAAAGAAGCCAAAGGACGCCTATGGGAAGGACCTGCAGCAGCCCCTCTGGGGTTTAGAACAAAAGAGCCTCGCTTTCTCAAGCCCTGGTCTCAGCTGCTCTCTCAATTCTGGATTATTTTTGGCCTTCAGAGGAAGTGTCAGGGGATTCAAATGACCATATAAGACAGCAGAGAGATTAAGCCCACTGCTTCTATGCAGAAAGCTGGGAAGGGCGTTGAAGATATTCCTTGCCTCAAGGAGCAGCATATATATATATATATATATATTGTCTGGAGTTACACTTAAAAATGTACCTGTTCCAATTTACATACAAATTTAACAAACCTACAGAACCTATTTTGTTTGTAACTTGGGGATTGCCTGTAATCATATTCAGGTTTAACATCTATTCATGGACACCTTGAATAGATGTTAAAACATACAGTTTTAACTGAAAATTTTGCATTTTGGGAGTGTTTTGAACTGAACTTTATACATTCAGGTCCTTCAAAATGTTCTCTAGAAGAGATACACAAGAGAATTTTTTTCATATGGTGGGATCTTTTGATGTTTCCTGCATAAAATGCAACCTCTATATTCATGTGGCTGGTATTAATTGTTTCATTTATCCACCTCTTTCAAAATATGCCCTCTCTAGATGTTTTCTAGGTCTTCCAGTGAGACTTGATTGTATTCTTGGGCCAATGGTTTTTCATCTCAATAGGGTTTACTATTATTTGCAGTTTTGTAGATCCATGCAAAGCCCAGTAATGTATTCCCTGTAGATGTGGTTTCCTCTCCACACTGTATACAGAAACTAAATAATATCTTTTATAGCTATTGATTTGTATTACAGAAGATCTGACAAAAATATGAAGCTCGAAGGGGAGGGATGGGAAGAGTGCAACTCTCTAATGAGAATGCAGGACTTTCAACATCTTCCCCTGTTTCCAGTAACTTGAAAACGGTAATTTGAAACCTTTATGCAGGAATGGAGTCGCACTGGGTTTTGCAAGGGTGCTTTGCCATGACTCAATGCTAGGGAATCATTGGAGTTATAGCATTACAAGGTGTTTACTTTTGTGTACCGAATAGTGCTAACATCTCACCAAACTGCAACTCCCATGATTATGGAATAATGCACCCTAAGTCTTGAAATCGCTCTCCTCACAACTGCAAAAAAAAAAATGTATTAGATGACTTTACCACAGTTTAAGTCACATGTTACTCCCAATTTTGAAAAAGTAAAGTCAGCATAACTAATTTTAATCTCATCAAGTTTACTAAGGTCAGATTTCCCCTAGAGGACCTTCATATATCTATCTAATTGCTCTCATTATCGAGAGCTAGCTGACCTTATTTGTAATTTAAGAAGAGTATGCATGATAACTACCCTCAAGGCTTCACACAAGAACATTTCAAGGGTTTCATGGTTTCTTACAAAGTTTCATGTCATGGTTACTAAGCATTGTGTTGAATATATATTTTAACATTGGAACAAACACTTGTATAATCCTGAATAGTAAAATGCATATGTCAAAGAAATACAGTAGGCTGTTGCTATTCATGAATGCTCAATTCCAGTTTTATACAATAACATAATAATAATAATAATAATAATAATAATAATAATAATAATAATAATAATATCCCTTATATAAAATGGTAAAATCAATGTTTACTTTTTGGAATGTTTTCCTTTTGGAATATTTTAAAATTGAATCTGCTGATATAGAATCAGTGGATACAGAGGATTCACTTTATTCTCAGAAGTTGACTTAACCTAATAATAATAATAATAATAATAATAATAATAATAGTAATAATAATAAAAATAATAATAATGACTTTATTTGTAACCCGCCCTATCTCCCCAAGGGGACTCATCTAACCTAAAGATTAATCTAGGGAATCGGGATATATTTCTTTCACTATGACAAATCCATTTTGAAGAATACATTACAGGCAGTCCCCAAGTTACAAACATCCGATTTACAAATAACTCATACTTAAGAATGAGAATGAAACAAGAGGAAGTGAGAGAAATTGATTCCTTGGAAGGGGAATTCACTTCTGAAAGAGTTAACATAGGGGAAAGGGGTCTCTGCTGAAGCTTTATCACCAATCCTTGTTTCCAGAACAAGTCAATTCTTTTCAAAATCCAGTTATCACAGAAATAGAAAGTGCGGTGTAATGTTCTGAGCAGGGGCTAGGACAACAAAACAAGCACCACATGGGTGTTCAGCCTTCCCTATGCTATCAAAACATGTGTGTATGTGTGTTTGTGTGTGTGTGTGTGTGGCTCCCTGTGGTTAAACCACTGAGCTGCTGAACTTGCTGACCAAAAGATTGGTGGTTCGAATCTGGGGAGCAGGGTGAGCTTCTACTGTTAGCCCCAGCTTCTGCCAACCTAGCAGTTTGAAAACATGCAAGTGCAAGTAGAGCAATAGGTACCGATTCTGCGGGAAGGTAACAGAGCTCCAAGCAGTAATGCTGGCCACATGATCTTGGAGGTGTCCACTGACAACTTAGAAATGGAGATGAGCACCTCCCTCGAGAGTCAGACACGATTAGCCTTAATATCAGGGGAAACCTTTATCATATATATATATATATATATATATATATATATATATATATATCTGAAGTTATATGGTCTGTTCCTACTTACATACAAATTCAACTTAAGAACAAACCTACAGAACCTATCTTGTTAATACCTTTGGGACTGCCTGTACTTCTTTTATAAATGGATGCATTAATTTATTAGCCAATGAAGAACTGGAATGGGGAAAGACAAAAGTATTGGGAAGGGTTGTGTGTGCTTAAATTTCTATGCACTATCAGTGTATGCACTATCAAAAATCTCTGGTCAGATATTTCACATAAAATTATTTCATAATCTAGCAGCTGGTATTTAATCCTTGATATCACTAGTTCAGTTTTTAAACCTAAAATGTTTTATTTTAAAAGTGCATTCTGCTCTTTACACCAAGGAGCCGAATTGTTTCCCAGAAAATCCCAATATTGGCTGAATTGAATGAGTTTTGCTTCAGAAATGGACAACACACAGACAACATAGATGACCAGATTTGATATGCTACTATGACATCAACAGTATTATATTATTTATATACTTTTTACACAATCAAGATTCTGGGATGATTATCTCTGTCAAGATCACTAGATGTCTGGTTCCCTTTTCAACCACACACCCCTTTTCATATTTTCTTTTTCTATTATTTGCATTATGACATTGTTTCAGGCTGTAAGAAAAACTAGAAGTCCATACTCTTCTCGGGATTGTTATCTCTTTTACTTCCTTTCAACCTCTGAATGAATATTTGATTTTGTAAATAAATTCTTCAGAGATTAGGAATCAGGGTCATTGTGTAAAAATAGTCTATTTTGCTATTTAAAATAAATCTGGAAACAAAACATAAAATAACAGGCTGTGACATAATTACGAACTAATTGCAAGGACATTTCAAACAAATTATGTCAGCACATAATTTGGATGCAGACACTGAATAGATTGGACATTCCTGTCGAAGGTATTGGCTCCACCTTTATCAAACAACCCCATATCTGCATAATATTACTTAATGTTAAAATTACCTTTGCCAAGGATAAATTGGAAATGGTGGATTATGATTACAAGTTGGGTTTGCAATAACTTGGTTTCTTGGGGCTGCTACGATGTTCTTCTGTGCAGCTACCTGCTCAGTGTGATCTTCATTCAGACTTTGTTCTATGGCCATCTGAATGAGCTCATCTTCACTCATACTGCTGTACAGGCTATAGTCGTCATGTCCTATTGTTCCTGTTTGTGGATTTCTTGGCACAGTAATCTGTGTCGTCATCCTCTGCTTTTCTGTTAAATCACTTAAAATAGAAAACCTAGAAGGCAAACAAATTGGTAGATCACAAATGCTGAAATCATGGGTATTGCAGAAGAACTGAGTAGTACAGAGTATGTTCTCTACTCTTCTGTTCACTTACAAATTTTGAAACATGAAAGTTGAATGCTGCAATTTCTGTGATATTTTAATTTCATTCTTGCAGAAAGCTGTGGTCAGCAGAAAAAATCCAAAATATTGGCTGAGGCAGTGACACCTTTGCTTACTGATGCTTCCGTGAATACACACTTTGTTTCAAGCATTATTAAAAATATTGTGTATAAAATTAATAATAATGAAATATTTATTTATACTCCATCACCATCTCCCAAAGGGACTTGGGGCGGCTCACAGAAGCACTCCAAGTGCCACATGCAGACAACAATACATAAGTATAAATAGAATAACATAAATATAATAACAGTGCATAAAAATCTCATTAATAAAGTTATAAACATTTGAAAATTATAAAATTCCTAAAATGCAGTGGATCACAGTGAAATTACCTTCAGGCTGTGTATAATGTATATATGAAACAGAAATAAATTTCATGTTTAGACACGGGTTCCTGCTCTGAGATATAAGCAAGTATTCCAAAATAAAATAAACAAACAAACTAAAATAAACACAGAACACTTCTGGCTCCAAGAGATTTGGAATTCTCCTTCCTACTCTTTATTCTAAAAGCTATGGTAATGTTACTTCCTTCCAATATATCCAACAAGTTACTGTGAGTATTTGCAATGGGAGGCAATAGCAGTATTAAAGACAGGGTGGGTTTTTATGATGATGTTTTCAAAACTTGAGTTGGGTCTTTTTTGTTTTCTTGTTTTGGAAAGCAGCTTATTCCCAGTGGTTGTGATTGAGTTTCAAAGCATCATGCTTTCCCTAGAATCAAAAGGGGCCTCCTGTTAGAACTGTCACGTATCAGCTCTCCCTCCTCCTCCTCCTCCTCCTCCTCCACCTTCTCCCTTGAGTTGTGTCATTCTTTAAAAATACTCTGCTTGGGTCAAGTTGCAACTGACATTTGCCAAATGTTTCATGTGACACATAAAGCAAAATAAACAGCATTCAGGAGGTCACCGTGTGAGGAGGAACATGGCAAAGGAGAATGTTCTCTTCAATAGGGTACAGCATGACTCACAATGGGTGTTTGTGACAGCACTGAAAGGGTTGTTTGGATATACTGAAAAGCAATATGAGACTGTTTAGAGACCAGATGCATATATACACATGTGAGTATATCCCACTCCATCCATGTTTTCAAAACTTCTGACAACCATTTTCAATTGTGTAGGTGATAGTCACAGGGAGGTAAACCTGAAATTATGAATTCAACTAACACAGAGGTTAGTTGAAGCAGGGTAAAACATTTTAGCTTGTCTTTTCACAAAAAAACAAAAACAAACGAGCTCTCCATTTGACATCAATTGGCCAGTGAAATGATGCAAGAGAAAAAGTAACTGCTAGAAACAAGTTAGTTGTGTGTGAGATTGATGCAAATGATGACAATGATGATTAAAATTTCTATACCTCACTTCATATTGGAAGAACTCAAAGTGCCTTGCATCCGTTCAATTTAGTTAAATTTAACACAATAAAAATAACAATTTAATAATTTTAAGAAAAATTAAAAAGTTAAAAACATCTACATTTATATATGTATTAGTAATAGTAGTTTTATTAATTAGCCCTTAGGCCATATCACAATATCAAACAAAACAACAAGGCTTGATAAGACTTGATTGCACTCTATGTAGTAAGTTAAAATAAGACACTTATAACAATACAATACATAAATTTGATAAGATATAATGAAACTGATAGAACGGAGTATATACATCATATTTCCTTATCACCACTACAATTTACCCAATCAGCCCTACATTTGTGGTTCTCAGACGCATTGTATTGTTCTGAAGAGGTTTGCCAGAAGGGATTGAGAGAGTGCGCCTATCCCAATCACTCATGCAGGCCCATAGCCAGGATTTTGATGGGGGGGGGGGCTGAGTTTGATTTGGGGGGGGGCTGAGTCTGAGTGAAAGAGGGTCTACCCTAGCAAACCTTTTGTATTGTTACCCCAATACCCCCATGCATATGGATATATTGAGCATGGTGATCAGATCATGATATGAATAAACATAACAGTTTAAATAATGTACCACTAAGGCCTTCTTGCGGACCACCATGAGAATTTGGAGGGGTCTGAAGCCCCTCAAGGGCCCCCCCCCCCCCGGCTACATGTGTGCACTCATGGGTTTCATGTATACATACATACATATTATATATATATATATATATATATATATATATATATATATATATATATAATGTATACATGGAACCCATGAGTGATCTTGGGATAGGCACACTCTCTCAATTTCTTCTGGCAAACTTCTGAACAAATCTTGCCAAGAAAACCCTGTGATGGGATATATCTAGAGGACCATAGGACACAAGTTACCTAATTTAGTTACCCAATTTTATGTTTCATTGATTTGAAAATATTAGCTATTTCTGGAAAATTTCTTTGCTGGTGCTGAAATATGTTAATCTACATTCAGTTCTTTAGTATCAGTGGCTGATACCAAATGAGAGATTTCCTCCTGGGCACACAGAAAAATGGGTGACTTGGAAAGTGCTGAACAGACTGCGTTCTGGCACCATGAGATGCAGAGACAACTTTAAGAAATGGGGCTACAAAGTGGAATCCACAATATGAGAATGTGGAGAAGAGCAAGCCACAGACCACCTACTACAATGCAATCTGAGCCCTGCCACATGCACAGTGGAGGACCTTCTTATAGCAACACCAGAGACGCTCCAAGTGGCCTGCTACTGGTTGAAGGACATTTAATAGAATGCCAAGTTTGTAAATTTTGTGTTTTTTTAATGCAATATAACTGTTTGGTTCGCTCCTGACGCAATAAATAAAATAGTTCTTTAGTATAGTCTGGATTCACTAGCACTGTGAACTGTTTGTACATGTTAGACTAGTATCATTACCTTTATTTGTTTGCAAGTAAAAAACATATGCACCCCACATATTCAGGGTAACATGACTGTATTCTTAATCCCCTCAATGGCTGTTACAGAGACGAGGGGGAAGGCATGCTCTCTGTTGTTACGGAGGGTAGGATCAGTTTGTGGTAACGGGGGGGGGGGGGGGGTTTCTAGTAAACACAATACAAGGCACATCTTGACAGTAAGAGCAGTTTGRCAATGGAGTCAATCACCTAGAGAAGTGATGGGGTTTCCATCTCTTGATGTCTTCCAAAWGAAGCTGGACAGCTACCTTCTGTGGATGCTGCTGGTTATCAATCATACAGGTGGTGGTAACTTCACCTCCAACATAGACAACAAAGGGCATTTCAAGGGCAAAGGTATAGCCTCCAGTTTGGCATAAGCAACATGCCAACTATGTTGATTCCACACAGCACCGTCCGCTTTGGTTAGATAATGCCATCTCTGAAGAATTACACTGACCTCAATAAGATCAACTGAATGACTTTACTTAGTCTCATCTCTATAAACAGTAAGTTGGAATTCTTCAGGTCCAAATGAATTAGCTGAAAAAACCTTGATCTTCAGCCTCAAAATCCTATTTATTTATTTATTTATTTATTTATTTATTTATTTGCTGTATTTGTATACCGCCCTTCTTAACCCTGAAGGGGACTCAGGGTGGTCCACAGTGTTGGCAACAATTCAATATCATCAATTTTAAAAAAACCCAGTATAAAACATCAAAATGGACCCTCCCCTGATAAAACATTAGATATTATTAAACACATCACATAAATTAACATCACATGCCATACAAAGACATAGCCGTTGTCCATAAACAGTCCTGGGTCATTGCACTTTCAACGTTCAATTTAACTTTAAATATTCCTATGATGGGCCGAACACTTGGTTCCATGGCCAGATCTTGAATTTGCCATTGCTTTCATTTTTCAATCCTGTGATAGTTTGCAAAATTTACCTAGTTAATTTGAAAAAGTAATTAAAACAATTGTGCTATGAATTAGTGTTAAAAACTAATTGGTCCCTTGTTTTTATTTTTGAAAATGAATTCATTGTATTTCTTATTACTCTTATTATTTAAGAGATTATATATAGCTACACAAGAAGGGAAACATATATCTATATTTCTATGTGAGTGCAGATTGACTAAGAAAAGGATTAGATGCTATTGCATAAACTTAAGATTTCTGCATACATTTAGACCATTGCTTTTTAAATGATGGATCCCAACCCAAAATGGGGTCCTCTTAGCTTAATGTTGGGGTCATGAAAAATGTGTCAACAATAAAAGCTTTCTGAACTCCAGCATTTTTCACAAATGATGCAATGTTTCCACCATGCAGTGTTTACAGTGTACTCTGCACAAAATGCTTCAGCTATACTCCACTGGAAAAAAAATCAGCCTGTTTAGCAAGCCTTGCAAAAGCTGGTTTATTACAGTAAATGTTTGGCTTTTATTCCTATTTTATATACCTATATAATTGGGGTCATATAAAATTTTCTCAGGTTGAAAGGGCTCGCAGTGTAAAGTAATCCAGACCACACAGATCTCCAAATGAGGTTCTCACAAAAAGTTTCTGTAAGTCACCTTCTCAGTTTGGTTTCATAGCCCTGCTTTTTATATCCTTCATGGTTATATGTGATGTGACAGAATATACAACTGATTGTCCAGAAGTTCTCATCACAATATTGTATGTTTCCGCAAACATATTTCCCAAACACCAGGATGAATGTGCTGACCTTCATAAACTAATATTTTTAGACGGGTCAAATATAATGTAGGTCAGCAGCAGACAAATATATTTTTATCACAACGTTTCTTATGAGCTGGGAAAACACAGGGGACAAAATTTTCAGATGATGAAACTTTTCTGAGTAAATAAATCCCTTCCGTCTACAGCTGTCGAAATCCATCCAACTGTTTATGAAGTGTGTTTGGCATGTCTCGGACACCACCATCAACATGAGTCAGTTTCAGTCCCTATCCTGTTTTACACTGTACCACTTTGCATCTACCTATTCTACTTTATTATCTTGGTAAGTCACAGAAAAAACCTGAATATTTGGGTGAAAAAAAATGTAGTTTATGATGGCTTTTCTTCTTCCCTTTAGGATGTGCAATGAGCAGACTTCACAGATATTCAGATTCCTGTGTTAATAATATTCACCTCTGCATAAGTTTCACAAGCAAAGGACATAAACATTCACACAAAATAGATAAATGGATATACTGAGGCATAAACTGCATAATCAGACGTCACAAATCAGTTTGGCATCAAAATATATTTTACTCTAAAGCCCACAAAATAACGTCAACAGTCCTTTGTTTTCACACATAAGATCCTTTTTTCATAGTTAATTCAGTGCATTTAGGTTTCTGGAGAGAGGAAGCATTTTGGATGTTCTACCCAAATGACAAGTTCCCAACCAAGCAAAATACATTTAAAGCATGCATTGTGTTACCTTGTGTTTTCCGTAGCAAGTTTGCTCACAGAGTTATTTTCCTTGGAGAATTCTTAATTCATAAAACTGCATTCCTCTTTGGATGCATCTCTCTCCCGTCTCTCTGTGTTGATAATCTGCAGAGCAGCTCTAACTCTCTCTGTCTTTGAAGTCTGGAGTTTATTTCTGGATCACCCCATGATCGAGGATCACAGCCAAAATATAAGTTGCTCTGAATCTCAGATTTCCTATGTGAAGTTTTTGAACACAGTGACTTCTACAGCATCATCTCCAGATCTCTCTTCAACATTATAATCTGTAGAACTTTATTATGCTCAACATCATTTTGCTAAATGTCATGAGGCAAGGATTTTTGCTACATCATTTATTTATTGCCTTGTACTAGTAAGCCATATATGGCCATGTTGCTGGAAATTAAAGAAAGAGAGGAAATAAGGTAGTTTTGTAATGGATATGGTCAGCCTGAAAGATTTTAGGGACTCTTTTTTAGAAGATTGGTTGGATCTTTATGCATACTTCTTTCAGGGATAAGAAATCAGTGGCCTTTCAGCTGGTGTTGCACTCCAACTCCCATTGTCCTAGACAAAATTAGAGAGGATGGTAATAGTCTCACAACATCTGAGGCAAAATAATTCCTGCTCATACACTAAAGCAGTTCCAGGGAAGCACACACCATTTTCTTACAATTTTATTATCAGAACAACCCTGTATTTTTTATTTAGATCATTTTTATCCTGTCCTTCACAACTCCCAAAGGTAAAGTAGGTCAGTAGGTGAACAGCAACAGGTTAAAAGAGTAGTCAACAAATTTTGTCTCCAGGCAAGGACATGCTGGACTTGGTTTCACTAGTTTTAAATTCAACAGCATCTTTATCACATTATAATGTAATACTGGCTTTTTAATGAAAATCACAAACAGGAAAATCCAAACTGGACAATATATTTGCAGCTAAATAGAGGTGGGGAATGTCAGACCCTCCAGATGCTATTGGACTGCTTGACTTAGGTGATCCCTTGTTGTCCAAGTATGATGGTCTTCCAAGTTCTTGGAAGATGCTTGTGTGGGTTTTTTTTAATGTGTGGAGGTTGGTGCACAGCTGCAACACACAGTCTTCACAGAGTGAAGGTCCCAACCAGTGGTGTGGTTAACAGGACAATGGTGGTTTCTCAATCTGCTGCAGTGTTCTTCCACCTTCACAGGCATTGTAACATGTACCATGTTATCTTCTGCCTGATCCACCATTGAAGTCTTCAGATTGTGCTTGGCCTGGAACCTCCCCTGCAGCCCTTCCTGGGAGTGTTCCAATGAACCCGTGGGCGTAACCACCTGTGACATATGGGACTGCAGGTGTAGCTTGACACCACTTTAACTGCTATGGCCAAATGCTATGGATTTGTAGTTTGGTGAGGCATCAGCATTCTTGTGCAGAGAAGGCTAAGACCTCACACAACTACAACTCTCAGGATTCAGTAACACTAAGCCATGGTTGTAAAAGTAAAGTCAAACTGCATTAATTCCATGCTGGCTATGTTTGGGCCCATCTGCACTGCCATATGATGCTGTTTGAAACTGCATTTTAAGGTAGCGTGGACTCATGCAATGCAGTTCAGTGCAGTTAAACTGCATTATATGAATCTACACTGACCATATTTATGGTGGAATTGGAGTCCAATAACAACCGAAAGGTCACACTTTGCCCAACTGTGTTCAGGCAAAATCTCAAAAAAAAAATAGTAGAAAGAGACTGCCAACTATGGCTATAATCCTATTGATGCAGTATGGCAACAGCTGCACATAACTCTAGAAAGTGTAATGGTAGTGAGAGAAGGCAAACATAATCCTAAATTATGTTTTAGTCCTAGCTAGAGTAGACCTGGAAGGGCATCTATGAACAAACTGTATGTGATATTCAAGTGCAGTTTATTAATTGTCAAGATTGGGACTTTCTATGCTATAATATTTTTGTGAAAGCTGTGAAAAAGGCTGATAGGAGGAGAATAGGCTCTTCCCAACTGTGCAGAAGAAGAGTTCTTTAATCACCTTGGACTGCCAAAAGGGTCTTAGATCAAATCAAATGTGAATTCTCCCTAGACACCAAAATAGCTGTACTGATATTGTCTTGGGACCAATCATGAGAACACAGGAGTCAACAAAAAGATTTTAATGCTTTGTGAAGGGGGAGCAAAGGAATGCTATGTTACTGGTAGATAGACTCAACGAAGAAAGTCATGCAAGTTCTGAGCAAGGCCACTGAAAATAGGTAATTTGGAGTCCTCTTATTCATTGAGTCACAAAAGTCAAAGTTTATTTGACAGCAATTAACAAGGGTAGTCCCATTGACTCCGTTAGGATGCCAGCTACGATTTCTCCAATTTCAGGTCCTTGTCTTTCTCTTAGTATCATTGCCTATATTGGCATAATGTGTCAACAGGATTCCAGCATAAGGTTGCAACTGAGGGAAAGATCCAATAAGATTTACACAATGGAATTACATATACAGTTCCACTGTTAATTGGATTGTTGTTTATGCAGATTTCAAATAGCACCTAGGCCTGCTAGAATAAAAGGGAGAGATTTTGTCTCATCAGTTCTAGTTCTAAAAATTAATCCCAACAATAATAGCAATAGCAAAAACATAATATTTCTTTGTTGCCCACCTTTCTTCATAGATTGAGGTTGGGTACAAAATAATTAAAACACACAGATAAAACAGCATACAATTAAAATACACATATTTTAAAAGTTCTAGATAATTGAAAAGATCACTCAACATTTTGGTTGGTTATCATGAAGGTAGTGGCTTACAACTGAATGTTACACCCCTTCTATTGTTTCATATATTATTTGTCCAAACTACTAAAAATAATAATGTAGTAACATTTGGAAAAACATGGTACATAAAACAAAGATATACATACTATTCCAGTATTCCATGTGTTAGCATACTTTTATCACATCAAGTCTTCTTCAAATCTTGAACAGGTTAACTACAATGCAGTGATTAGACATGACATTTCCTGACATTCCTAGAACAAAATATAGGTCACCGTTTTTGTATTCAAGGCATGCATCTATCAAGGATAGCATCTGTTTGTGCTATTCTTTGAACTCTGCAGGCTGTGAAGACATCTGTGTTGGCTACATCAAGGAACATGAAGGCATTGCTTTCCTTGGAAATACCAAATACAGCTGACCATCAGTGATGAGACTTCAAACTATGAGAGTTATTTGTTCATGCCAATACATGACATTTAAGCAATGATAAAGGGCATTTGTATGACTGATATGCACTACAGAGCTTCAGAAAAATCTGGCCTGTTGTTCCTGGTCATCAGAGCTAAGCTGTGGGTGACAATCTGGACCAAGAGTTGGGAAGCAAGAGCTTTGGAACAAGTCATTAATCAGAAGCAAGAATAACAACTGGATGCCAAAACCAGGTTCAAGGAATAAGATTGAAGTCAGTCACAGAGCAAGGCAGCCATCTCAGGCTGCAGATTTGGGGCTCTCGGGAATGTGAAGGGGCAACAAATTATTACTTATTTAATTTTCAATTGTCAGAACTTTATTACTGAAGATGGGGGGATTGTTTTCACCCCCTTTGCCAAATAATATATGCACTCCTGACCACTGCATCTATTTGGGCTGATATTTGGAGAGATGGATGTAGACACCCTATCCTTACAAGTGAAGACCTATATCTTCCAGGCCTACCAAGACAGTTTTAATGATGAATTTTAAACTTTCAGTCTATGTTTAACTTTTATTTTGTGTATTTTAATATGTATTTTATAAGAAATATGGTTTAATATGTGTATCCTACAGAGTGTTTTTAAATGATTATGTGTTTTAATAATGTTATAAGCAGTCTTGAGCTATGAGGAGAGAAGGGTAAGAAATAATAATAATAATAATAATAATAATAATAATAATAATAATTGGTAGTAGTATTACATTCTGTTGATTCCTGTTTGTCTATCCTTTATATTTCTATAAATATCTTCTACTTATACATATCCAATTTTCCCCCTTCCCTCTTCCTCCTTCTCTCCCTCTTCTGGTTTCCATACGTGAAATATTGGAGTGTATGTACATAACTGATTGGATGAGAAGTGCTGTTTGATTTAGGAACAAATTGTCTTGGGTCAAGCCCACTCAGGATGACTTTGTTCCAACAAAGCTCAACTGGAAAGGGAAGCCCTCTTATATGTCTTCTTGCCCCAGAGGTCTCAGGACCCTTCCACACAGGCTCAAATCCCACAACGGGTCACAAGTTTACCTGAGGCATCCGAACAATGCCTCAAGTAAACCCAGATTAATCTGAAGTAAATTGGGATTTCCCAGTTTACTCCAGATTAATTTAACACCTGGAAAGATCCAGATCTTACTAAAAGGTGTGGGCCTGTAGGGATTGACTCCTGGTGTGCTGTCACGCGCTGGGCCTATAGCAAATGGTTTTTGAACAGGAAGTGCTCTTTGTGCCCAACGGGAAGCCAGGGTGCCTCAGCTGAGGGACCCTAAGGATTTTCCTAAGTCTTTAGATGCTTGAAAAGTTTAACAAGGTCCTTTATTATTGCTTAGGTCTTCAACAAAACAATCAAATACTTCTCAGATCTTCAACAAGTCAAACAAATACTTCAAGGGTTTGAATCAACTGGTGGCTTTCTTAATCTTGTCGACAAGGGACAGGCTTTGTGAACTGTTTCTTTTCTTTAAGAGGAAAACCCTTTTTTAACCCCTCCTTGGGCAATCTACTTTCTAAACTTTGCTGGTGTGGGCTCTACTCCCGGCTCCAAACTGCTTCTTGGGTCCCGAGTAGACCTACCAGTCAAGGCTTTGTAGATTCTCCAGCTGGAGTCCTTTGGAACTGTTTCCCCCTGGAATTTCCCCCGGATGCTGTGAGAAATGAAGCTTCTCTACAGGTGGAGCTAATCCACGTCCTGTAGCTAAGCTTTCCAATGCAAGACTGACCTAAAATGGCTCCCTCTCCTCCCAGAGCCCTGGGGAAAGGGGCGGAACCAAAACTTAACAATGATTGATCAGACATTGGCCCTATAATTGCAAACCAAGGGAAGCCACCTTATTGCAAAATGCATGGGACTTTGGAATAAATGCAAACACTCAAAGAAAGAAAAGGAAGTTG